CTTTTCTAAAATATCCTTACTAATCAAGTGTATTGGGTAAAACTACCATTATTAGAAGGACAATCTTAGAAAAAAAATGGATAAATATAAGAGAAAAAGTGGATTGGGGTCTTATATTTAGAACCAAAATAAAAGTCAAACTAGGTCTTATATTAAGGATCAGAGGTACTAGTTAACAATAACAATTTTGGGTACTTAAATCCCTACTTAACCCAAATATCATCTCAACTTCAATTTAACTACTCCAACATTCAACACACTATCCTGATAAGTCAAACAACTTATAGGAATCCTCAATTACCTCCCAATTACACCAATGGATCAAAGTCCCAAATTTTCAATCTAGGGTTCATCATAAAAAATGCTCAAATTTAAAAATCAAGTCAAATTAACATTCTAAACTGATTAAACATCAATTCTAACTCCCATTAACATAACTCAATCATCAAAACTCATTTTGAATCATCACATTATCACCTACCATAAAAAAACCTTCCAAAAATCACTAATCCTAGCTCCAATCCTCAAAAATCCAAATCTAAAAAAATTAAACTAATTAAACGCTTAAGCTAAACCATATAAGTCATTTAAACTCAAAATAATCAGTTAAAATCTTAGTCCATTCGAAATCATAGAAAAACCCCAAGATTCAACTATCTCAAGCATGAAAAATCTAAGAGAAAAAGGTAAAAATAAGGTTAAAAAATACTTCTTTTGATGTTTAAAAGTTCAAATGTACTTCTAAGGACCAAAATCCACAAGCCCTAGTAGATTCCCAATGTTTCACCACCCCAAATTAAATGAAAATCGCGTCTAAAACTTATTTTAAAAAACAAGTTTGTGACGCATTCACTGTGGATTGGCCACGATGAACCCACAGCGAATGGTACTTAATAATTGCCCTTTCTGCTAAGCCATTCGTTGTGGCGTTCGCTATGACTAACTCAGTGAATGTTACACAATAAGAAAACCCCCCAACTATAAAAATTCATAACCTAACACACAAATGTCTAAACTAGTAACGTCTTTAACAAAAAAAAACACACTAAGAATATGACCAAAGAAGGACATCATATGAGAAGAAAACTAGAAAAAAAAAATAGAAGATGAATCTAAAGATTCTTTCTGATTAGGTTGAGAAGGGTCCAGTTTTTTTTTTGTTACTCTAATTTCTTTAAAAACGATTTGATTGAAATTAATTTTTCCAAAACAAATTTTAAATTAGGATAATGGTGCATTCAACACCCAATCCTTTTTCTAGGTGCAACTAGCATCCTAATTTTTTTAGTGATACAATTTTACCTACCATCTTTTTATTTTGATGTAATTTTACCCATTTCTAACAGGCCTCTAAACATCTATTTACACCAAGGCATTTGTTTTGTTCAAAAATAAATCACATGAGTATTTGAATGACACATAACATCTGACTGGATTAAAGCCTGTTTGGCATGGCATTAGAAATTACTTATAAACACATTTTATATAAATCGAGATAAAACTCTTCTCATATACTTACCTCATATTTTGTATATCACGATCAAAAAATTACTTATAAGCTGTTCCAAATATGCCCTTAGTTTATCTAATCAAAGAAAAACACTAAATGGAGAAGAGTAGTGGCTAAAAGAGTGAACACAAACAAATTATCAACTACAGCAACGAATATCAATGAGAAAGACAGTCAATAAAAAATATCCATCGTTAAAGTAGAATCAGTGTTGTTGTGGCTTGTTTCAGTTGAATGTTTGATTGATAGGTGAATCAAACTCATCTTCAATAGTATCGAGCAGAAGACGAGTAGTTTTGTTGAGGCAAGTTGGAATAGAGATAGAGTACAAAGGTCGAAGATGCTGTCGTTTCTAGGGCTTGGACTTGAAGGGGAAGGGTTGGGTGCAGTGGTATGGAGAGGAGACATGACAACTATATAAATTACACTACAAAATGAGTCTTATATTTAAGACTGAAGAACTATTTTATTTATATTTATATTTAATTATATCATTTAATATCTATAGTTATTTTTATATTTATATTGAACATTTATATTTATTTAAATTATAATATTTTTATTCATTTATTTTTTTGAATTATTACTTTTTTCATAATATTATTATTCAATAAGGACCAAAATCAAAATGAGGATAAATTTGAATATTATTATTCAATAATATTATATTTTTGGATTAATATAATTCTTGGTTCATCAAGTTTGCTGTCATTTTAGTTTTAGTCTCTCAAAATTCAAACCATAGGTTTTGACCACTCAAGGGGCAAATAATCTAAGTTTTTATTAGATTATGAGAACCAATGTTTTAAATGAAAAGAAACTTGAGAAACCAAAATGTATGATTTGAAACTTGAAGGTCCAGAATCAAAATGAGAATAAATTTAAAAGATCAAAATTTGTATTAACCATTATTTTTTCATTAAGGGTAACATGGTAAAATTGCATAATTTTTCAACCCATTTTCATCCAATCAAACATAAAATTTTTCATCAACCCATTTTTCATTCTAGTGCTTACCAAATATATCACCACTAAGAAATTTTCCATTCCCCTCCTCTCCATTCCAACTGATTCTTCCTACCAAATGGCCCTTAGAAGAGCGTTTTTTTTTTTTTTGGGTGAACTAAGAAGAGCTTATTTTTGTCTATCCTTGAACCACATCGATGTCATCACATGCAAGAAGAATTTACTCGATGATCCCCTCGTTCATTGGAATTTCACTGGCATTTTACAAAAGGATGTTCATTCACTGTTTCAAGCGTTTTGTAACTACTCCTTTTTTAAAATTGATATTAACTCCCCTTTCTCTTTTTTGTGCTATTTCCTTTCCCTTGTTTGTGCTATTTCAACTTTAGTTGTATGATTTTCTTCATTTTATAGAATTGGTCTTTTTATAAAATAAAAAAAATAAAAAAAAGAAATTATTTTTTAACAAAGAAAAATTGCATTACAAAATAAAGAAATACAGCCAGCAATTCAAAAAGGAAACAACAAAACAAACACCATAGTACAAACAAGACGAACCTCAAACAATAAAACTACAGGCACTATGAGACTAGCCAATCCCCTCACGCTCAATTCTGCTACCATTTACATCAAACCCTTGAGTATTCCTTTCATCAATAGGGTAAGCCCTTAAAGATTCTTTGCAGACGAGATGGTGCTGTCATAAGCCATTCATTGGATCCCATCTCTCTTCTTTCACTAGCGGCTAAGAAATCCGCAGCGTAATTTCCTTATCTTGCAACCAAGGAAACCCTAACACCAGGCCTTCTCTTAATGAACAAGAGAATATCAGTTGAAATTGCTATACTTTGCATTCTATTTTTCTAGGGACTCATTGATCACTACCTTATAAAGATCCTCACAATCAATCTCCAGACAAATCTTGAAATTGCTGAAAATGTCATTGAACAGAATAGCTTCTTCAAAAACAATATACTCGGCTTCAAAAGGGATTGGCCCAGATCCTACTACAAACACCTCCTAAAAACTAGCCATTACTAACTCCTACCCCAACAAACTCAAATTGCTTTAAAAAAAAGCTCCCTCAGCATTAATTTTGACTGCACCAGCCGAAGGAGCTTCGCATGTCAACCTTCTCACTTCTTTCCACTGATTCCTCACCTCTGAATGACTATTTCCAGACGCCTTAGCTGACCAAACTTCATTAATAATAATCACATCTTGCCTTCCATATGCCCCAACAACAAATCGCTGCAATGAGAGATATCCCTTGATCATCAATGTTTTTATTATTCAAAAACATTTGCTCAAACTATTTCTCAGTACACGCAACCTGCCTACTATCAATAATCAATGATAAAGAGCAACCAAACCAACATCTATTTGCTCAGGGACATACCAAACTTAAGTGCTCAATACTCTCAGCTCCAATTCCACAAACAGGACATTCACCATTCCTCCCACACTTCCCCTTGACGAGAGCCTCCTTAGTTGTCAATGCCCCATTTAATAAACGCCCTAGGAGATGATTGATCTTAGGTGGTATTTGTAGCTTCTAAACACAATTCCAAAGTAAAGCAGGAATAATGTACGAAGTACCAAGTCTTATGCCACGCAGGCTTTGCTCTTCCCCTTTTGATAACCTGATTTTACAGTATATTTACCATCATTGCAACTCAGACCGGATAGATAAGCCCCTATCATATCAAACATAGGGTGAAGTGTTTTTTCAGTGACTATCAAAACAATTTTTCGTTCAATTTTATTCTTAAAGTATATTTCCTAAAAGCAACAAGTATCCTAAACTTAGAATATTGAATATTTCTGAAAAAATACTTCATGATGTTTGATGCTATTAAGAAAATACTTCAATTTTTTTCTTAGTTTCAGATAAAACACGTTGAAGATTTGCTAGAGATAACACCTTGCATAATAAGCAAGCTAAGGACGTTGTTGGACTCATGCGTCAAGAAATGAGGAGCGCTTCTTTCAAGAAATGGATAGGACAAAGATAATATAGTAATGTTGCATAATACCTATTGTAATACTACCCTATCCTTACAAAGATAATATAGCATAATACCTATTGTAATACTACCCCATCCTTAATATAAAAACTCATTTAATTTTTATTTTGGTTCTAAATATAAAATCTCAATTCATTTTGTCTCTTATATTTATTAATTTTTTTCTAAAGTAATTCTTTTAATAATAGTAGTTTTGGTCGACTAGCAAGAATATTTTTGAAAAGATAATACATTATAACTAATTTAATTAATTTTTTTAGCCTACTCAAATTAATTAAATAACTCTTATATTAAAATTCAAATTAATTAAACAAATATTATATTAAGGATCGGAAGTAATGGAAGTAATGTTAGTCACTTTACCAAAGTTAAGATTAATTAATTATAAACTCCTCCCCCACCCCCCTTTTCTCCTCCTCATATCCTTAAGTTGTTTGGCGATTCTTTTTTTGGCCATTTCGTCCCATTAAGGATGATCCCAATTACTAAAGAAACAAGAGCAACGATTGAACGTAGGAATCAGCACCACAACTATAAGAGTCATCACATTTTCTTCTCAAATGGCATGTTTACGGGAGCGACAACCTGATCACCCTCATCGGAGAGAAAGGAACAGCAGCCTTGTGATTCACCGTCGTCGTCGTCTCTCGCCGCCGCCGGTGAATCAAGTTTCATCGCTCGTTGTTCCTTTTTCTTTTCCCCCGGCCACCATAATTATCATAATTCCTTCAATACAGCCACATATATTCCACCATGTCCGGATTCAATCATCTTCGTCTTGGTCTTCTGGTTGTGGTGGTGGGCTTGTTGTCATCTCTTGCTGAGTCGTTCAGGTTCGAGCTTCCCCCAGGTCGCACCAAATGCATCACCGAAGACATAACCAGCAATTCTATGACCGTCGGAAAATACCATATTGTCCCTGTCAAGCAGGGTCGTCCTCCGCCCGATGACCACAGAATCAACGTTCGGGTACGGACCTATATTTTATACGCGGCTTTAATCCTATTTACGAGACATTTTTAATAAAAAAATCTTAAACCATCCCAATTCTCTATTAAAATATAATAATTTTTTAACTTTACTTTTATTTAATACATACTCTTTTCAAAAAAAAAAATTATCTATACTACTACCTCTAATCCTTAATATAAGATTTCATTTGAATTTTATTTTGGTCTTAAATATAAAACCCCAATCCATTTTGTCTCTCATATTTATGCATTTTTTTCAAAAAAGTTATTATAATAATGATAGTTCTAGTCAATATACTTGATTAGTAAGGATATTTTAGGAAAAACAATACCTATTCATTATAAATAACTAACTTAACTTATTTTCTTAATCTACTCAAATTAGTCAACTAGCTCTTATAATTAGGATCGAAGGTAGTATAATAAATGAATGACAAAACGTTACATTCATACCAAAAATTTAATGTAGTAATTTATAAATAAGACCAAGAAAAACCTTCTCACTTTATCTTATAAATAGGATCAGAAGAATATATTGAAAAAGTTTTAATGATGATAAGCAGGTTCATGAGTACCAAGAACTTTTAATACTGCTCATGATTTAAATGGTTAAGATTGAATTTTATTTCATACTCTTTGTTCTGCTTTTTTTTTTTTAGAAAAAAGAAATTGAGTGTATGAAATCTAAAATAAAATCCATCTCTTCAATGTCAGTTTTTTTTTAAAAATAATTTTTTATTTAAACATCGTCAATTAAAGATTTTACACAATTGCATTTAGACAATATAGGTCCCAACGCAGCGATAAGCATTGAAAATGATTATTTAAGGGTTTTATTATGAGCATTTATGAATAAAAAACATACTGTGACATGTTTAAAATATTTAATTTCTCCTAACAAAACTACATTTTTGTATATTAAAAAAACAATTTTTTATATATAATTTGGGGACGAAGGGTGTAACCATAAACTAACGTTGATTTATTGAAAAAGGTAACATCAATGCTTGGGAAACACTACCATTCGGCAGACCATGTAATGTCAGGAGAATTTGCATTCATGGGAGTAGAAGCTGGAGATTACATGACATGTTTCTGGACAAGTATCGTTATTTCAAACCTAACCATTGATTTCGACTGGAAAATTGGTGTGGTCACCAAGGGTTGGTCTGGGGTTGTTAAGAAAGCCCACATTGATGTAAGTCCCTTCTAGTTTCTCCCAATTCAACTCTGTTTTGCTAATTACATTTGCGTATGTTTATGGAATCCTTTAATAGTGTTTTCTCGGATTCTAAATATAAGAGCTTGTAGAGGGCCCGTATATGGAATAGCCAGTGAGTTGATTTTAATTTTAAATGCACAACCTTAATTTATTTTATCTTTCATGTTTATTATTTTTTTTAAACTAATTTTTTTAATTTATAAACTAATACATAATCTAATATAGAAATATTTGAGGAAGATCAAGTCATATTTGGTTGTGATTTGAATAAAAAGAACTTCGTTTTAGAAGTTGTTTGATCTATGTTTTAGAAAAAAAAAAAAGCACTAATGACCTTAAGTTGCAAGTAGAATCAATTGAAGCGACACACTCTGTTTTCGGAAAAAAAAAAAAATTAAAGGGACATGCACTAATAACCTTAGGTGACAAGTACGATTAAGTCTGCAACCTATTTATATAGAAATTTCATATTATTAGACTACGAGGTCATTCCTGCCAAATCTCATTTTCAATTGGAGCAACGCACACTCTATTGCTTTAAATAAGTTTATTAGGTAATTAATCTTCTTACACTTTTTGTCATTCAAATATGTGTAATAGTTATTGGAGTTAGAGCTGTTGAAGATGCAAGGCACTGTCTCGTCCATTCGCAACGAGATGCATTATCTTCGTTCAAGGTAAGCTTTGCTTATTCATAATTCCATACACATATTCAAAATTTTGAAGAACATGGTGCCTTAATCATTATTTTTTGAATATAAAATTTTTCCAATCTAATACTTTATGATGTCCCAAGCACGTGGATTCTCTGCAAGTATGAATTCTGGTTAACTCATTGTTCATGAGCAACTGTTTGTCTTAGTTTCATTGGCAATTTTGTTTTGGTTCAGAGAAAAAGAAATGCAAGAGCTCAACTTATCCACCAACGATAGAATGTTATGGTTCAGTTCGCTTTCACTTCTTATCTGCTTATCAGTAGTGGGCTTGCAAGTTTGGCACTTGAAGACCTACTTTTTGAGAAAGAAAATCCTATAATATTTTGGCCTAAGTTTTTTTTCCCCTCCCCCTAGAAAGAGCTTCTGTAGAATATATGTAGCAGCCAGCAAATTGGTGCTCCGTAGACCAGAGTGAATTTGGAAGTAGTCTTTCTGGGGTTTTCTTTTTTTTTTTGGGGTTATAATATTTCAAATCAATTTTTGGTGATATATCCCATGGATTTGCTGGATCTTATTTTGACTGTTGATCTTACACATAACACGTTTGTCAACTTCACAAACAGAACAAGCAATTTTGTAACACCAAAAAAAAAAAGGACTAGCAATTTCTAATGCATAGGCAAAATAAGAATTTAAAGAATCAATTTGGGTTACATAAAGACGAAAATTTGAATAAATGTATGAACTTAAATGTCCAACTAATATTTGAGTACAATATTATTTTTCTCATTTTCAATGTCTTTTGTTTGGGGGGGGGGGGTGTGGAGGAAATCACAGGCCTAAGGCATTATTAAATCAGAAAGAATCCTCAGTGGTATAAGCAGAATCCGTGAATAGAGGATATCATCCTTTCATACGAAAGACAAGGCATAAAAGAGTCAACGGCACCCTATACTCTCAAATTTCCTCGGTCAGTTCTAAGCTTAAACATATTGCACTCGAGCAACAACTAGCATACTATAACTTAAATAGAATTCCTCAGTAGGATTGACATAATAAAAAGAGAAAAAAATTGTAAAATATAAACTGGAGAAGAGCCATAAACAATGCCTGTTCTGCTCACCAGAATTTAAGCAATTGAAAGGCACTGCCTTTCCGGGCTTTACTGTAGAGAATAGTAATGACTAATAAATCACTAGTATGTGCATTCTGAACATGTCAATGGTCAGACATTTAGGAAGAGAACAAGTGCCAGTGATGATCTGCGGGTAAATTTTCCTTGATCTTCTCAAGCCGTTTGAGGATCTCCAAGAAGGAAGGTCTTTGATTCATATCAGCACTCCAACATTCCACGGTTAATCTAAGTAAAACCAAGAAGGAATCTATTAGCAAAAGAAGTCAATTCTCACACCAATGCTTTCAATTGGGTTGGAAGTCTTGAATGGTTGTAGATATAATACAATTTTGGTTATTGCACTAAGAGGAATCAGACTAAAAAAACAGCACGAAAACAAGTATTTGTCGTAAGCATCCTCTTTATCCAAAGCACTTTGGCAAGTACGGATAAATGAGTCAGTCAAGTTGGCGCACTTCTGGCACTTTCAATAGTAAGAAGGAAAATAAAGTCGCATTTCCTTACGTTTTAACCAGCAAACATGGGTTTCTCTTGCCCTTTTTGTGTGCAGAATGAAAATGAAAGAAATCAAAGTTGAAAAAAGTGATTTTAAAGTTAAAGAATGGTCATTAGGTCCTTTTGTTAAATAATAATAAAATATAGAAACTGTTAACTATAATGACCATATAGATATAATAAACATTATGAAAAAATGAAGGAGTGACGAAGGCTAAATAGGCATTAGTAGGCAAAGGATACAAAATGGAAAAATGCTTTAGACACATGTCAGAAATGACTCACTGTCGCAGTTCAGGGGTAAAACCCCTTGCACGAATAGTTGGTCTGTGTCCTTCAGCCACGTGTTTGGCTGCATCATAAGGTTCATAACTTGCAAAAGGTGGTTCCCCTTCAAGCATCTGCTCCAAGTAAGAGTCAATCAGAAGTAGCTTCAAATTATATCACTTTAAACATCTACTTTGCAAGAAAGAAATATTACCTCATACAGAATCATAGCAAAGGAGAACACATCAACCTTCTTATCGTATCTCCGGTGTTTGAAAACTTCGGGAGCCATATAGCGGTCTGTTTTTGCCCCAAGCACATGAAAATCAGAATAAATTTTGAATAGAAATTATCGCCATTCTTTTTACATAACTTTTAAAAACACTCACAGCTTCCAGTTTCACCAGTCATCTTGTAAACATCATGAGAATTCTTGACCTTGATAAGCTTACTCAGTCCAAAATCCCCAACTTTCAAATGGTCTGCACTAGAATTGACCAAAAGAACATTCCTGAAATTTTAGGAAATAGTTTCAATATGAAATATATAAAGATTTTATAAATTCGATATATATTCTTATCTTCTCGGTAACAAAGTTTTGTCATTCTGGGAGAGCTGAGAAGAGCAAAATGCATGTCAATTTCCTGTAAATAAATTCCTTGAGATTTTGTTGTGTGTGTATTATGTCACCACCGATATATAAATACATATTTTCCTACATAGGATACAGATAATCAACTTACCTTGGCTTTAGGTCTCGATGAATTATAACATTTGGTTCATTGTGAAGATAGGCCAACCCTCTGCAAGCAATATTCATAGCTTTGACATTAGCATTGTAATTAGATTAAGCCGGACCTGTGATTGCAATGACTTCTATGTTTTCTAATGCTAGTTTTGTCAGAAGAAATTGAATGCTTTAAGTAACATCCTCATATTAATGACGACAACGACAATAACAAAAGCTATAGGGCATGTTTGGTTAAGCAATTAGGGAGGGTAAAAGTAGCTTTTATGGAGCAAAAGTCAGATTGAGTTTTATTATCATGTTTGGCATCACTCTTGGTTACAAGTCATTTTGCCTAAAGAAGCCACTTAAGTCATAAGCTAATTTTTATGGCTTATGAACTATGCAAAAGCACCTTTCAAAAGCAAAAGACATTTTTACCCCTATGTTTATGTTGTTCTTATACTTCTCACTACATATTTCTTGTGCTTCCCAATCAATTTTTAGTTATTTATTGTTAATACTCTTTTAAATAAAAAATTATTTTCAACAAAATTTTTATAATATTTTTAATATTATTTTTCATTTTATATCTACATAAATTGTGTAGAGTAAATCATTCAATTAATTATGTAATATTTTTGGTTAAAAAAATTTTACATTACTACGATTTTTAATATAAATATACTTTATTCATTAAATATAACTTGTTCCTATTAAAATAATTTAAAATTACTATATTTTTTAGGAAAAATTAGGGAGAAGGACCTAGAAAAAATAGCATTTATTAGAAATGATCATAAAAATCATAATTATTTAGAAGGACCAAATACTAAAATATAAATTCAAAAATACTAAATTACCCCTAACAAAACCTCCTAAATTACCTCCTACCGTTATGGGTTTTTTTTTTTTTTAAGAAACTAAAACTAAAACCAAAACCACCCATCATCCCCACGTCCCTGTATATCCTTTATTAATTCAACCTTTTTCTCATCCAGATTGGTATTGATACCATCAATATTTCATTTAAGTATTAACATTAGTATTTATCGATCTTTTATTCATCATTACGTTTCTCTGCCTAAATTCATATTATCAACACTAATATCAACAAAAATCTTTTCACTAAACAAAAAACTAGACTTATTTTATATCTTGTCAGAATTATCTATGTAAATTTATGTGATAAATATAAGAGGAAATATTAAAAGATTTAAGGACGATGAAAGAAATTATATTTCACTTACAAAAATAACAACAAGGGAATATGCCCCTAAGAAATTAATCTGTAAGCAAAGAATAGACTAAATGTAGAAGATGTTAAATTTTCTACCTCATATATATCTTAATAATTAGTATACTAACATGTTAAAAAAGCATTACCCCCAAAAAAAATCTCACTATTACTTGTTTATATTGTGATTTATCATAAATTTTGTTGATTATAGGGAAATTTTTATTGACAATATTTTTTTGCTTACAAACAAGTATTTTCTAAATTCTGACGGAGGTAATCAAAATTTCACATGAAAGATATATATATATTATTTGTCTTTTATTTTATTAAAATTATATGTATTTTTTATTTTTTTAGAACTTCATAATTTCTTGTAAAATAAAAATAAATTATACAAACTTTCTTTGATTTATTTAAAATTAGTTAACTTTTCATTTTACTTTCTAGATATGTAACCTTTTTTTTAACATATATAATAAGTTATAAAAAAATCGCAATAACTTTTTATTTCAATACAACTTTGTGCCGATTCTACAAATAAAATTCTAATTTTGTAGTAACCGAATAATACAATATATATTTAAGTAAATTCTAAAATTTGACAGAAACTCTGTTTAATTTAATAAAGTTTATAAATTCATAGTAGTTTTAATTTATAACCAGAGTGTAGGAAAGAAACAAGGAATGTGGGTCTATCAAAAAAAAAAAAAAAACAGAAACAAGAAATAAGAAATGTGGAAGGAAATTTAGGAGGTGTGGCTTGCGGCAATTTAGTAATTTTAAATTTATATGTTAATATATGGTCTTTTAAATAATTAATTTTTACGGTATTTTATAATAAATATTATATTTTCTAGGTCCTTCTCATTAATTTTTCCTATTTTTAAATTCATATTTTTTATTATTTAATAAAAGTCATACCCATTTTTGTCATTCTACAAGGCAAACTTAATTACCCAATCATAATCCAAACAATTTTCTACTTTACAAACTAACTTTATAAAAGTCAATCCAAACATAAATCACATTACCCAATCTATCTTTTACCCAATCTAACTTTTCTAAAAGTCAAATTAAAAATAAATTACTTTTTCTACGTCAATTCAAAAGGACCCATAATATTTTTGAATATATCTTAGGAATATATATAATAAAATATTTGAACAATTATGAAAAATATTTTGAGCATATTAAGCTAATTCTTAATACACATAAAAATGAATATAGGAAATAAATATACATAAAATGGGGAGAGGGGCATAGCTGATTTCACATTAAAAAGGGGCCAGCTAAGGTATTTTTGGGAATCATTAATAACACTAAGAAAAAGGAATATTTATAGTGGTGATATAAAGCATGATGCAAGTTAGAGTGATGTAAGGAAATAGAATGGGCAGTCAGATATAATTCTAGAATAAAATGTGAAAATAATGTTAAACGATAAATGAGTGAGTTGTTTCCTTAGGGCCTCTGGGGGTAGGAGTCAAGGGTTTCTAGAAAGGACAGAGTGTGCTTCATTTCCTTCGCTGGTCTATTGTTGGGAGGATTCTTATCCTCCCCCCATTAAGTAATCTCTTTTCCTTTTTTTGAGGGGCTTAGGAAAAAAGGAAAGGACGAACATAAAAGGGGGGTAAAGACATACCTGGCAATATCCAAAGCAAAGTTGACAGCAGTTGAAGGACTAAGTGTGCCTTTTTCCTTGAGATACTGATGAAGATCACCCTGCATATTTCCCAGGTAGGTTTATTGTACAGAAGCTAGACGCAGAATGTTAAACTGAAAGCAGATACATGCATTCACATACCCCTCTTAGATACTCAGTAATTAACAAAAGGGGCTTTTTATCAGTTACAGCTCCAAGAAACTGGACTATATTAGGGTGTCGAACCTTCACTAGCAAATTAACCTCATGCCTGAAGTCCTGGCTGCATTGAAAGTCAAACCCACCCAAAAAGAGAGGATGAGTGATTGCCACATATGACATCACAGAAAAATCTAGAACACAGGTAAAAAATTTATCGCTGCAAAAGTATCAGCTTAATAACAGTATGTCTCTATATCCTCCATGGCCCATGGCACAATGGAAGAAGAATTGATTACTCTTCCCTGAAAGGAGAGTAATTTAAACTAACAATAAGCACAATTAGCAAAGCAGATTAGTTAGTTATTTGAATGGGTCTTCATAGGCTTGAAAAGCAAGAAGAATGAAATTTACATCACCAATCTATCATCTGAGAGAGATGGAAGAATGCGTTTGACTGCAACTGGTGTTCCACGCCAATGTGCCTTCAAAATTTCACCAAAAGATCCCTGCAGAAAACATGCAGAACCAATAAGACTATATTTCATATGCAACCGTTCATCAAAGGCTTAAATTTAAAATGCAAGGGGAAAGATAAAAGCTATAAGGCGAAAGTAAAAGAGTGGGAGCAACAAACACTACAAAATATGAATGGCTCTGCTTCTTTTATCAATCATAAATAATCTTCAAGACTAAATTACCGCCCTTTTATGATCACCAGACAATGAAAAACCAACAGAAAGACGGCCAAAATTTATACTTCAAATAGAAAACAGCCAAATTTAAATTATGAAACCAAGCTTGTTTACAAAAGCTATAACATGCAGCTTTAGCTCCTAAAAGAATAATAAGGTTGATATGTTAGAATAATATATGCTAAGAAACACATGAAAACCAAAACTCAAAAATGGCTCGGTTTCTTTTATCAATCATTAATAATCTTCAACACTCAATTATTGTCATTTGATGATCACCACACAAGAAAGAATCAATAGAAAGAGGACCAAAAAGTTAGTTCAAATCGCCATGTTATAACATGAAACCAAGCATGCTTGCAAAAGCCATAGCATGAAACTTTAGGCCCTAAAGCATAATAGGGTCAACATCTTATAAAAATATGTGTCAAGAAACACAAGAAAACCATGACTCTGATGCAATCAAACTGTTTGCAAATATAGCATGCACAGTCAAAATTTCCCAATTGATCAGCATAATCCTAGCAAAATTCAATGTCAAAGACATATAGAAAAAGTAAAGGATACCTTTCCAATGCGAACTGAATTAGTGAAGTCCAGCTCAGAAGGGTCTATTTCCCAATCACACTTGTTAGGCAGTGGAGGAGCAACAGGCTTTTGTTCAAAATGACTCCCACTTTGACCCTGTATTATCAATGATTAGAAATAAAGACCCGTAAAAGTAATAAAAGCAACTAATGAACAAATAGCAGAATTTTCAGTGTTAGGTAACGAAGACTCATAAAGATCAAGCTGCTAAGCAAATGGTTGAAGTAAACAAAGTAAAATTAGCAAACTGCAACTTATCGCCCACCTTAACCTACTTTAATGCACACAAAAGTAGCGAAAAGGAAAATTCTTGAAGATAGACTATCAAGGCCAATATAAAAGCACCGTAACCCCCAACTTCAGACTGGTTCTAACAAGGCTCCAATCATTATGGAAGCAATGACAGCTCCAAAGCAGCTAAATATCCACATGTTGCTTAAACCTACAGGTTGGAATCAACGTATATAATGCACTAAATGGTTTTGAGGAGCCACCCGTTAATTTTGGAAAAGGATGGGCGGCCTATGTTTAGATGAACTAAGAGCATTTAAAACAAAGAGGAAGAAGTTATCCTATTCCTTAAGAGTAAACAATAGCTTAAGTTTATTTGTCGGGTTAGCTTGCCTTGGCTCCAAACCTCATGATTGTGTGTATCAACTTTGACAAAACATGTTATCCAGCTTCCGTTGTCAAAGCAAAACTTCATAGATTGGTCCATCATTGTTCAGGTGTGTGAAAAGGGTTGTTCCTCCTTTTTTTTTCTTTGTTATATTTTTTACCCCTGTTATTTTCTTATTTCCCAAGGTAACCTTAGCTTCTGCTTCGCTTGAGATCTAAAACCTCCTTCCCTCGTGGAGAGGGGGGAGAGGAAAAGGTTAAATTGCTCACTACATAATCTTTTTATGTAGATAGTGAGAAGGAGAAGTCAAGACAAGAAAACTTATGATTTGCTTTTAATAACTTCTAAAGATACGAAGTTGAGAATTAGAAATGAGGCTTATCGACTGATGTGGAAATATATATATCACCCTGCAAAATATTGGCCCATGCCAAAAATAATGACTTGGCAAGACAAAATGATAACAATACGATAGCCGCTTGCGCAGCGGCCATACCAACTACAGACTCTAACTGCAAGTTGAGAAGGGTATTTAGGAGTATCAGCAGAAAGCGTGTTTGCAAAAGACACCGTGCTGATAAATCATAATTTAACAAAATAGCATTCAAAGTATTGACAAGCAAAGTAAAACTACCAAAAAAGAAAAAAACCAAAGAAAGAAAGGAAAAAACAAGTTCCATGGTCCCTTTTTAAGAGAGAAGCAAACTTACAAAAGACAATCCTCCATGAGATTTTAAAAGCTCCACCATGGTAAGCCTCTGAGCGCCTTCTGCATCAGCTAGAGGCTGTTGGGGGAAAAAAATCGAAGTTTTAGACATTCATAAAGTTCAGAAATTTTAATTGCACAAAAAGAATGGAGTTCTGTGTCTTAATTAGGAAGAAATGCAATACAGTGTTTTTCCAGCGATCTGCGCGTTGACATCGGCACCATATTCGAGCAAGCACTTAGCAACATCGACCCAACCATGAAGAGAAGCCACATGAAGAGGGGTACGATTGTCATAATCTCTGGCGTTCACCAGCGTCCGATCCTCCTCCAGAAGCTTGCGAACAGCAGTGGCGTCGTTTTGATGGGCATGCCACAAGATCAACGAGGTGCGATTCACTCTGGCCTTATCCTTCTGCTTGTCCCTGTCCGGCTCCGAGGTACAACCGCCGGACGAATCGGCGCCGGCAGTGGAGTTCTCGGAACTCATGGCGTGGACGGACGGATCTGATGGATCCAGTGGCCGCAATTGTGGGAAAGTATCAAAACAATGAATCAGAATTGAGTGAGGGAAAAACGAAACGCTAGTTATTTCAGTTATTGTCGGCAATTGGATTTTGTGGCTACTTTTTTGGTGGTAAAGATTTGGATTGGCTCTGATTACCGTAGGAATCGAAGCACGAAGAGGAAGGGGGGAGTCTAGTTTCTGTAGGATCTTAGGTGTCAACTGTGAAAATGTCGGCCTCTGTACTTTAGCTAGTATTTTACCTGCGACTCCCTCCTCCTTGGTCTCTCCTTTACCTGGGAAAATAACTTTACAAGTAAGTAAATTATTTATGCAGCCCGTACCAGAAAAAAAATGTTGGATTTATAAATAATTTTAATATGTCAAAATTTATTTTTTTGTCATAATATGTCAAATTTTTTACAAAAATAATCATCATCACCTATTTATCATTTTAAAATTTAAAAAGTATTTTATAATATTTTTTCGTAATTTTTCTCATCAATAAAATTAATAGTTAATAAAATATAATAATATTTTACTAAAATAATTTTGTTTATTAAAGCATTTTAAAGAGTTACGAAAAATACTTTTAAGAAAAAAATTGTGCCAACAAATTATTTTAGGTGCTGAGTGATACTTAAAAAAAATATTTTAGGATTCTAAATACATATAATATAATAGAATTTTTTTTGCAGCTAATGACATGGACAAAATTGCACTGAAAATATACATTAAGAGTAAAACAGTACTTAAACAAATATTGTAAAGGTAAAGTTGTATCAGAAAAAAGGTTGTGATATTGAATGTAATTAAAAAATAACAAATGTCATTTTATAAAAAACACCCACCCAATTTATTAAAATAAATTAAATTAGGAATAAAGTGCATTCTGTATTCCCAAGTATTTTTGTAAGAGCACCTAATATTTTAAAATATTTTGTCGTATAATTTTTCCTACAAAATTTTTTTTCAAAAGTAATTTCACTCCTAAATTTTTTTTTTGGGCAATTTCAGCCCTATAATGTTCCATACTCAATTTTCAGTCATTTTAGATTTTTTCAATTCCATACCTATATTTCATGTATTAAATATTAAAAATAATAAAGATTGATAAGTTGAAAAAATATTTAAGATTATTAGTAAAAAATTAAAAAATTTACTATTAAAAATGTTAAAGATGAGTATTAAAAATATGAAAGACAAGTACTCACAATTAAAAAAAAAAGCCAACGAAACAAAATTAACTTGGATAATACTTTAGCATAAAATTGCACTAAAATAATTATTTTATGATATTGAATATTTAAATGTTATTAAAAAAATATTTTATGATATTGAATACATTTTATTTAACATGCTTTTTAAAAAAGTTAACAATGGGGTTCAAATTGCTCTGACAGAATACCTTAAGGACAAAATTTCTCTTAAAAAAACACTTTAGGTGACTTAGTGCACTACAAATTATTTCAAAATATTGGATGCTCTTATAAAAATAATTTAAGATGCTAGATGCATTAACTTATTAAATTAAATAGAATAGCCAAGAATGTTTAAATTAATTTTGAAGAATAGATTCTAAAAAAGATAAAATAGATTACAAATAAAGACCCTCTAATATGTAAAATTGTGATTTGAGATCTTAAATTTGGAAAATAACAAATAAGGAGCCGGTCTCATTTTTGTAAATATGAAATCGTGATAAAATGTTTGAAATGCCCCTCAACTAAGTGAGAAGTTGACTATGAAAAATGACAAGTTCACTTTAGCGAATGACAACTTTAGTAGATCAAATCACAACTTGACTGAATGTATGTCAAATGACGAGTTGACTGTGGGAAATGACAAGTTCACTTTAGCGAATGACAATTTTAGTGGACCAAATCATAATTTAACTGAGAGACATTTCATATTTGCAAAAGTAAGACCTACTCCTTATTTGCTATTTTTCAAATTTAGAGTCTCAAATTACAATTTTACATATTAAGGGGTATTTATTTGCAATTTTCCCAATAGATTATGTAAAAAAGGTAATATTGATAAATTGAAAATATTTGAACCATTGTAATTAGAATAACTTTTTCATATATACATTATTAAATTACAAAAAACATAAGCTAATGTGATATTTAAATACTAAAATAATGAAAATGATTCTTTTGCATTTTTTACATAATAAAATATGTTAAAAATTTAAAAATTATTATACCAAAAATGAATAAAAAATTATTGTTGCTGATCAATGTTAAAATAAATAGGGTGTTTTTGAGATAAAAGAAGCAGCTTAATGGCAACAATGGCTTGGACATTTTGAAAAAAAAACAACAACAACAACTACTTATAAGTGATTTTACATAAAACCATGGTTTTTGCTCTCAAATCATGAAATTGATTTCTATCCCAAACACCTTTGAATTAGTTTTTTTCAGATGTAATTTTACTTAGTATGAAGTAAGGATCTGAGATAATATTTTTTTAGTGAGATGAGAGGAGTTTTTTCTCGATTATGTAAAAGTATTTTTTTTAAATAACTTTAGGGGTTACCACCCCCTCCACATCATATATAACATCATTTTGAAAGTGCCATGGTAATATGGGCTCGACCTGCTAAAAATTAACAGGTTAGGTTGATAAAATGCAAGTTTATTTTGAAGCGGACCTTTTTAACCCACATCAACCTACCACAAGCTAGCTCTTCTTCTTTTTTTTCCAGTTTTTTGTTTAAATTTTAATAAGAGAATTGATCATTTTCCCTCTACATAAATAAAGTGTTAGATATAATCAGTTTTGATGATATCAAATATTAGAGCAAAAAGTTTGCATCAAATGTTTATTTCATGCTTTAACTAACTATTATACTTAATGTTACTATCTTGTGTAGTTTGGTCAAAAAAAGAAAGGAGTTATCATGAGATTAATTCAAAAGAAGAAAAACAGAGATAGAAGAAATAAGAGCTTATAAGATCAAATAGGAATATCAAAATTTAAGTTTTTAGATGTGATATTAAAGGTTACTATGCTCAATGAGAAGTTAAAGTGGCTCAATTGGAAGTTAAAGTGGCCTATTTGAAAGTTATATTAACATACTTTAAGTCACTTTTCATCTAAACTCGAATACAACCTTCAAAGATTATCTTTTACAAGTGTTTTTTGAGCTCATTATCGATAAACACGTCTATCCATAACCTTTTCGAAAAATCACTACTCTGTAATGCTCTTTATTCATCTTTGACACATGTTAGGTATTTCAATAATATCTACTAAACTACAAATCTATTTGAGGTGAAACTTAATTCATATGAAACTAGACTCAGAACACAATCCATGAACACAAAGATCAACTCCAATGCTTTTCATATGAAGGAGATATTCTGCTCGAAAGATGATATTGAGGTTACACACGCCTTGTCCCTGATGAAGATAACTTTGAAAGTACAGTGCATTTTGGGGTGAGACTTGTTGCGTTGGAAAGTAGACTCGGAGAACTTTCTGGCAATAGGTCATTGTAACATTTAGAGTTGAATTGAAAGACTTATTATCACTCAATTGTTTATTATCGATAAAGTCATCAATAATCCACCTTATTGTTAAGCTTTTCGATATTTCAATAATTTAGCAAAGAAAAGACTTCATTTTATCGAATTCCTTATCATTAACATGTTTTATCAATAACATCTTCGAGTTTTGTACTTCACAAGCTACAGCTCAAGTTTTTAGAACTTTTAAATCGAACTTGATTTTGATGTATCAATCTCTTTATCAACTTATCAACAAGAAAAGTTTCAAAATTTTTCCAAGTTTTGAAGTTCTCAAGTTCCTTATTGAGTTTGTCTCAAATTGATTTCAGAAATTGGTTTTACAAAATAATTCTTAAAGAATTCATCAATAAGATTATCAATAATTAAGTTTATCAATAAGCATATTGATAGAACCCAATCTTTATATGGCTTTCTCAAGTGTTTTCTAATGTTTTGCAACACTTTTACCCTCATTATGCATGCATTTATATCCATTTAATTACATTAAGTCATGTATTGCATTTTGTTGTTTAAGGGGTAAAAAGGGTCATTTTTTCTCTTCTAAATATTAATTGCCTTGATCTGTAATCAGTTGGTCTTTACAAAACTCTTTGTTGTGATTTTCAGGAAATTGGAGAAGGACCCAAGAATCATGATAGAGCATGGATGGAGCCAAAATGTTACAAGGACCAAAACACAAAAGTTGGGAGTGTTTTGCCTTCCCAGGTCGCGACATGGACTACTTAGGTCGCGACTTGGATGCCCTTTTAATAAAACTACGCGTTTTGGACCTGAGTTAAGATGAGAGCTCTCTGTCTTCCCAGGTCGCAACATGGAACCTCTCAGGTCATGACCTGACCCCCCCTAAGTCGTGACCTAAGTGCGTTAAGTGAAGCTGTGCATTTTGGAATAGGTTTCTGAACTTCTATACCTAAGGAGGGCAGCCACCACAAAAGAGGATTCTTCCATTCTGCAAATTTGCACAAAGTTGAGTCACCATCATCTCCTCTCAAGTCTCCATTGATCCTACACCCAAAACTTCCATTTTTCTTCATTTCTTCATCATTTTCTGTATTTCTAAATCAATCAAACCACTCCAACACCCTTCTCCATTTTTCTAACCTTATTTTTAGTTTTAATCATGACTATTCATTCCCAGAGCGATTGCAATTGGTTTGAAGGCATGAGAGGCTAAACCCTTAGCCTCTTGGTGATGGAAGACAAAACTTGAGCTCAAGGACTTAATCGGGGAGTTTTCTTTCCATAGTCTAAACCTTTGTTTAATGTTGTGTTGAATTTTTTTAGATTTAGGAACTTTCTGCACTTGTATCAAACTTGGTTTATGATTGTAAATTTTGTGTTTAGAGTATTCTATTGTATTTGGATTGGATGATGTTAATGTTAATATTTAATATTTCAGTTTGAATCCTTGTGTTCAGTTTGATTATCCGTGATTATTGTTGATTAATTTGTGTGCTTGGTATTCTGTGGCTATCGATTGATAATGACATTCAGAGGGCATTTGCATCATTCATTCATTTACACTCTAAGTGGTTTTCAGCAGTGTCTTAAGAGGTGTTAATTAAGACATTGGACTCAAGTGATTACTTGGGGTTTTCTTCAGATCTAGGGGTTTTCCAAACTCCCAATCATTCTAAATAGCAGTGATAGCTGAGCTTTCATCATCAAGAGACTGTTTAACCATAATTCCCTTTTAATTCAAAACATTTCTTCATTCATTTAAAATACCAAAAACAATTAACTTTCTGCACTTTACATTTGTTACACCACTTTTAAAACAACTAAAACCCCTCTTTTTTACAATGTTTTTTGAAAACCAAGTTAGACTAGGATTTCCAATAACAAGCTCATCGAGAAGAATGACTGGTTGCATCCCATACTGCATTTTATCTAGTGCAACTCTCTTTCTTGACTATCCGAAAGGTGACAGTCCAGCACATTGATCACATATCAATCACCTGAAATGGACCTCTTTGTGTTTACTTTGGTATTTATTGATAAGATTATCAATAAATCCTTTTATCGATAAGGTCATCGATAATTGCAGTACTTTGACAAGCTTTCTACCTTTAGGTTTTTTGAAAAGGTTCACGATAATTATATCTTGTAATTTCAAATATTTATCGATAAGATTTTCGATAAAGTTGTTTATCGCAAATGAATTTCAAGCTTTCACTCCAACTTTCATATCATTGAACAATTATTGATAAAATTTTTGATAATAATGATTGTCAAGTTCTTCATCGTTAAATAGTCTTTCAATTTTGATATTTGATTCTTTAAACTAACTGAGATTTACTTGTTTAAAAGTTGATTATTGATCATCGTTTGCTTATCTTTGCTACTATGAGTTACTAATGACATATTTGAGCAAAATTAATGTAGGATTAATTGCTCAATAGGAAAATGATGATGATTAGTTATTTTATGTCAGAAACTTCCAACGTCTAGCTTTAACAGTCATATTCTTCAAGCCAAACAGGAAGAAGATAACCGACAGTGAAATGCTCAACATCAACTATAACTAGAAGGGGCATTCAAAGTCAGAGTAATAAAGAAAGCCTGAGCTTATAATGTCAAAGTGCTGAGATGACAAATTAGCCTATCTTATTTAAAGCTCTATGAGAATACTCTCTTTCCTTGTGTTTTAGAGATTATGCACATACAATTTTGAGATAGAAAGAAGAGTTTTCTATGTGCTTAAAAGTTATTGATCATTTCTTTGAGAGAAAAAATAATTGAGTTTCATTCTGATCATCATACTATAATCTTACAACGTGTAAAGAGGAGTGAATCCTTATGGGTGTAAGAAGGAGTGCTTGCCACAGTATGAGATTGTTATGCATTCTAGTGGTTTTGAAGTGCTCAGTTTAAATTTGAGGGAGATAGTAGATTGAAAATCTCAAGTGGAGCCTAGAGACTGGCCGTAGGTTTATGGAGAGACCAAACTAGGATAAATCACACTTTGCATCTTCTCTTTCCATACCTCTTCATATTTCCAACTAAACTATTATATCCTTATGGAGAGACTGAACTAGGATAAATCACAATTTGTATCTTTTCTTTCCATACCACTTTATATTTCCAGCTAAACTACTATACTTCCTTGATTAAGCTTTTGTTGTTCATTATTTTTATATTCTAAATTTCTTATGATTTTCACTATTGCGAAATAGTTTTTGATTTTAATAAAAACCTTATTCGCCCCTCTTGAGTAATTAGCTATTCTAACATATGGCCTTATATTTTGTTAGAAACTTAATATTCTAAATTTGATTTCTTGTTTTTATTTTACTATTTTTATATTAATAAAATAACTATTAAAAATATATTTTGTTTTTATATTTTCAAGTTTTGAGGTTAATTTAATTATATAATTATATGAAAATATAAAAATAATTAAAATTCAATCTATAGAAATTTAAAATTTAATTTAAAATTTTAAAATATATATGTAAAAAATTGTTTGAAAAAATGTGAGTTGGTGTGCTGGGTAGGGCTACACATGGGCAGGGCTAGGCAGGGCATACCCCTTGCCCAATGCCTAGCCCGAAAGATGAGCGGGCTGCGTTTTGCAGCCCGCTGCCCAGCCCTGCCCAGTAGAAGCCCTAACCATTTTGGGCAGGGCAAGGATGGGCTAGGCAGGGTGGGCTTTTCTGCCCAGCGTAATGACACTATGCCTTATATCATATGTAGAAAAAAAAATTCAATTATCGTGTTTTGAGACAAGTGAGAGGAAAAAAATTATCACGAGTGAGTCTATCACTCATATATATATAAGGCCTATGTAGTCTTGTTCTTCAACTTTCAATTTCTTATGGGAGGTAAAAAAATATATTTAATAATTAGAACATTTAATAATCAAGCTAAATCAGTAGTTCAATTCCTTAGTTTATTCATATACTTGGCAGATTCTTATAATCATGTGAAAGCACAAAATTTGAAAGGTGGTTTTATTTTTCTTTTTTTTGTTTTAAAAAATTGGATGTAAGAGAAAAAGAAGGAAATTTGACTTGGAGTAATTTAGTATATTGAATCTTATATTTTGATATTTAACTCTTTTATATAATTATAATTTTATGTTCCTTTCATTTTTTTTCTAATTTTACCTAATTTTTTTGGCCAAAACAAAAGAGATAATTGCTTAAAATAATATTTTCTTATATATATAATTATATATTTTTTCGGGCAGGGCCAAATGGGCAGGGCAGCATACCCTGCCCGTGGCCCTGCCCTGCCCGTGAATTAGCCCAGCCCGAAGATGCCTATTTTTGCTTGGGCAGCTTTTTACTGGGCTGGGCTGGGCGCTTTTCTTGCGGGCTTGGGCGGGCTTATTAGGCATGCGAGCCTCATGCACACCCCTAGTGCTGGGTTAGCTAAATTATAGCCTGCTAGGTAGTAGGCCTATTCATCCCAATTAGGAGTGTTCATGAGGCCCAGTAACCGGTATGCCCGTTTAAACCCACCAAAATAATGCCCTGCCCAGCCCAAAAGATACAGCCCGAAAAAAAAATGAGTATTTTTGGACTGGGCTATTCGTGCGCAGGGTCGGGTCATGGGCATGGCATGCAACCCTGCCCATTTGGCCCTACCCGAAATATATATATATATATAATTATCTATATTATAATATATATTTTTTCAGAATTATAATATATATATAGTATAATATTAATATAGTATATTTTATTATACTTCAATACGCAAAATGAACATTACTTCCTTATATTATTAGACTTCATATTTTTAAAGTTCTAGTTTTTTTTTTAAAATCATACCACCTTTTTTAACTTTTTAAAATTATCATGTTGTGTACTATAATTGTGTTTTAACTTTTATATGCTGATATTACTTCATATATCATGAAATGATACTAATTATACCAATTTGAATGTAATATATAGATCTCTATAAATTATATTAAACTATAAGTTAATAATATAATTGAACATGTTAATATAGCTTGTATTTTTTTATATGTTTTGTTATTTTCTCAGCTTTGTGGAGGTTGATGCAAATCATTTGGACTTTAAGACTTTAATTACAATTTTTTTATTTTCTTATTTTTAATAAATTATGAATATTGTTAAATTCTTAAAGTATGGATATCTGTTAAGACATACGACAGTTTCATGACTCAAGTTATAAATTTGGGCAAGGAAAGCCCGCCCTGCCCAGCCTGTAATAGCCCAACCCAAAATAGTATGGACTTTTACTAGGCAGGGCCGGGCACCGGGCTACATTTTGTAGCCCACTCATCTTTCGAGTTGGGCATCAAGCAAGGGTCCTGCCTTGCCCAACCTTACCTATGCACACCCCTACCCAACTCATATAAGTTGCAACACGTGGCGAGTTGGCCTGCATTCACAGCTCTAGTGTTAGGTGTTTAGATGAAACCAAACCATAGTTTAGAGAATAGTTTTTGATGAATAAATTCTTGGGAGAATAGATTTTGTGAAGAATAGATTCCGATAAAATGAAAGTGTTTTGATAGTTGTTATCAGAAGCACTTTTTATATGTGCAAATTATTAAAAAAGACATAAGTTAGTATGATAATTACATAAAAGATAGATTTTATAATATATTTTAATTTCAAGGAATAAAATTGTTAATAATATATTTTTTACCAACATAATTAATAATATATAAGATAATGTAATTAATAAATAATTAATATGTGTATACATATTTATAAAATATAAGATTAAATATGTTTATAAAAAAATAATTGATGGGTGTAAAATCATACTATCGTTGAGATCTATTCTAACAGGCACAATTATACTCTCTAATTTGAACCAGAAGCAGAATGGATTCATTTCTTTTGAAACCATAGTTTTGAATCCAAAATCATGATTTCTGTTTTTTCTCCGGTGTTTGACAATTTTTTTTTGCCCAAACTAGTTACCCAAAATTCAGTGGAACGTTGCACAGTGATGTTTATTCAGTGCTCGAATTCTTTTCTAGTCATTCCTTATATATTTCATTACCCTCCCATCCCCGGACCATAACTTAAGAAAAATCTCAAAAAATATTTTTAAAATTTTAAAATTTTAAATAAAAAATGATTTCAATAATATATTGTCATTTTTTTTTCAAATGTTGTCAATTATTATTAAAATATAATAAACAAGAATGATTTAAAATTTTAAAATTAAAAATATATTTTTTAAATTCTCTCTAAAATTTATTGAATTCAGGTGTATAATATTTTCATTTTAATATATTGATCCTTTTATCAAAAGAAAAAGAATATTCCTCGTATCTTGACCTATTGGTCAATCCACGTCCAATACCTTTTGTTATTATAAAACTAATAAAAAAGACCTTTCTCCGCCTTTTGGCTAAGATCAATTTATAAAAATAATAAAATATAAATTATCTGATAAGAGTGACAATGACTTTTAGATGTGACAAATGAAAACTTTACATTCGCAAAAAATGTTCTCTGTTGCTGAGCAAGATTCTGCTTCTTAGTCTTATTTAGATTAACATTACAAAAGTGTTTATAAATATTTTTTTATAAATTGAAATAAAATTTTTTTTTATATACTAATCTCGTATTTCGTAAATGATATTTAAAAAGTTATTTATAAATTATTCTAAATAAATTCTTAGTTATATTATTACTAAGCATCATTTATTACATTTATCCTATTAACTCAACTCATAATTTCACGGGAAAAGAAAACATGCAAGATGCAGGTTAAAAAAAAAAAACAGAGAAAGAAAGAAAGAGAATATGCGAGGGATTTTTTCTTTTGCCACAGCAAGGGATTGTTATAAAAGAGAGAGATAATAATAAAGTCAATACAAAATTATTTTAGTTAAATAAAATTAAATGAAGAGAGCGAAAAAGAGTATAATTAAATAAAAATTATATGCAGTTTAAATTATAGAGAATTCCATTATAGTGCCATAAAAGGGACTTATTTTCAATGAGACCCAAACAATTCTCAACACTCGTTATTTTCTTATGCTTAATTGTTAACATACATATGTATAGTTATAAAAAAAACATGAATATTTATAATTTTCTGTATCAGAACATGTTAAAATATAAATTTGGACGTATAAATAACTCTACCTATATTGTATAGCCGATTCCAAGCCCGGATGAAGGAGGAAGGTTGTGTTGGGCCCTTGATAGCCAACGTAAAAACCCGTCGAATCTCATGAATATAGATCAACAAAGTAATTATGTTAATGCTAAGACGTTGCCCAGAAGTGACACACTGTATGGCCCGGGTACAGTGAGAAGTGAGCTGGAGCCCCTGCATCGTTACTGGGATGTAGTGTTAAATGAGCAAGGGCTACCGCACTCTCCTAGACGGAGGCAGTTAAAGAAGTTGGTTCATGAGACCAAGATTAGATTTGGCACTTGAAATATTGGGACGTTAAATGAGACATCTATGGAGGTAGTAGGAGTTATGAGGAACAGAAGGATTAATATCTTTTGCCTCCAAGAAACAAATGGACTGAAGAAGTTGCCAAGAAACTTAGAGAGTATAAATTTTGGTACATAGGAAAGGTAAGTGCAAGGAATAGTGTTGGTATCATCATTGATGGAATATAGAAAAAGAATGTGGTGGAGGTTAACAGGTTTGATGACAGAATAATATCTTTAAGAGTAATTGTCAGAAAGGATACTATCAATATTATTAGTGCCTATACACCTCAGGTTGGGGCAAAGACACACCTTAAATATAACTTTTGGGAAGATATGGAGGGGTTGATTCAAAGCATACCACTCGAAGAAAATTTTTTTTATCTGTGGAGATCTTAATGGACATGTCGGCAGGGAAGCAAGACAATTCGGTAGGGCTCATGGTGGTTTTGGTTTTGAGTAGCTTAATAATGGAGGACAATCTATTCTTGACTTTTCTCTTGCATACAATCGCAAGATTGTCAACACTTGTTTTAAGAAGCGAGAGGAGCATTTAATCATGTACAAGAGTGGGGACTCAAAATCATATATTAATTTCTTTTTGGTTAAGAATCCGGATAGAAGATTGTGTACCAATTGTAAAGTTATTTCTAGAGATGATGTGACTGCCCAATATAGAGTACTTGTCCTTAATATACATTTTAAGAGTATCAAACAAAAGTATCATCAAGTGGTAAAACCCAGGGTTAAGTGGTGGCAGTTAAAGGGTGAGAAGCAGGAGTTATTCAAAAGGAACTTTTTAGAGGAAAGGATATAAGAGTTCTAGGGAAATGCGAACGTGATGTGGGAAGAGATAGCTACAAGTAGGGGTGAAAATAGGCCAGGCGGCCTGTCAGGGGCCTGTGGCCTGGCCTATTTAACCACCAGAACAGGCTCAGGCCTGTGAAAAGGCCTGTTTATGTTATCAGACTAGGCTCAGGCCTGACAATAAGCCTGTTAGGCCTGTCAGGCGGCCTGGGCCTGTTTTCTTTTTTTTTTATTTTAAGGTTAAAAATGTAATTTCACAAGGGTTAGAAATTTAACCTAAGTCACTACTCTCCCAAGTCCCAATCTTCTTCGGCTCGTCCGTTTCTTCTTCGGCTCGTCAGTCACTCAGTCCCAACTCCCAAACTCCCAATCTCCCGTTTCTTCTTCGGTTCTGGACGGTCAGTCCCAATCTCCCATTTCCTTTTCGGCACTCAAGAGTCAAGACCTCACTTCGTCCTTCCAGTTCCAGGGTTCTCTACTCTCCAGTCGGCGCTCGGCAACGGAAAACAGCAGACAGCGGAACTCAGAAGGTAGTTGACGGCGGTGCACGGGCTGACAGCGGCACATTCAGGTACCCAGTAGCTAATCGCACACGCTTCCCTTCTTCCCTTCTTCTTCCATTTTGTTCTTCGATGATCGCTGCGTTTTTTATTCCGTCATCGTCTCATGGATATAAATCTGCTGCCTCTGCATTTTCTATTCCGTCGCTGCGTTTTTTATTCCATTTTGTCAAGCTCTGCCTATTGATTCTTTCATGCAGGCTCTGACTTCTGAATTCTGATCTGCCGACGCCATTTTGAATTTTGATTCCATTTTGTCAAGATCTGCCAACAAGTAAGTCGAGTGTTGTAGCCTTCTTATCTGTTGTGCTTTGAATTTAAACCAAAAAAAACTTGCCTGGATTTTAGCCATTAATTAAATTTGTATAATTAAAAAATTTGCCCTGATGTTATTGTATTTGGTTCTGATAACTTGGTTTGTGATTGATATATAGGTTGGAGTCATTATTAGTTTGCTGGTTTTTGTGATTGATATATCGGTTGGAGACTTGGAGTCATTATTAGTTTTTTGGTATTTCGATCACTCGTGGATTTAGTGACATAGCTTATGGCATCTCATAGTTGAATTATCACTTATCAGTGTGTATAGATATTAGTACCCTGTAGCCCTGTAGGCCGTAGCTTTCACTCATCCAAGATAAAGGGTTCTTTAGTTTCAAGTCTGCGTTACCTCCTTAGTAGGCGTTCTGATTTTTTGTTGGTATTTCGATCACCATGCATGCATGTATTTGGTTTTGTTGTATATATCATCATCTTTGGTCAATATAAATTAATCTTTCATTTTCTTAGTAGGCGTTCTCCTTGTAATATATATCTTCCTCCTTAGTAGGCGTTCTGATTTTTTGTTGTTATTGAGTTCTAGTTAATGTCAACTCCACTTGGAAGTGAAACAATGTCATCCAATTCAGTTCCTCTTAATACAATTGCAACTGAGGTCAATCAACAAGCACCAACAGATTCTAGTCAACAAACTAATGATGAGAATGATGGTGCTGATTGTATCATTCAGAAAAAGAAGCGAAAAACTTCAGGTATTTGGGAGGAAATGGACCAAGTTGAGACTGATAATGGGCTCAAAGGTAGATGCAAGTATTGCAAACAACTATTTGCATACTCAGGTAAGGGAGCTAGCACTTCTCATCTTTGGAGACATGTTGGATCTTGCTTGCAAAGGAAGTTGCACAGTTCTTCACAACAAAAGCAACCCACCATTCCATTCCAACCTTCTAATCAGAGTGTTAATCCATTTATAGCACCTGGTGCTAGATATTCTAATGAAAAGATGAGAGAAATAATGGCTACTGCAATTATGGTACATGAGCATCCTTTTAACATTGTTGAGGATGAGGTTTGGATGTGGGGCTTTCAGTATGCAAATTCTGAATTTCAAAAGATTTCTCGCAAGACGGCAAGAAGTGATTGTTTGGCCATATATGAGGCAGAAAAGAAACAGTTGAAGGCTTTATTACAAGGTGTAAGCAAGATTAGTTTGACCACTGATATGTGGAAATCAGCTCACCAAGTAGCTGAATACATGGTTATCACTGGGCATTTCATAGATGCAGGGTGGAATCTGCAAAAGAGGGTTTTGAGTTTTGTGAAAGTTCCTGCTCCTAGACGGGGAATTGACATGGCAGATGCTATTTTCAAGTGTTTGAAGGCTTGGGGGATTGAAAACAAAGTATTTTCTGTTTCAGTTGACAATGCGTCTTACAATGATTCTTGTTTGAGGGCTCTTAAAGATACCTTATCACTTAGTAGTTCATTGCCTCTTGGTGGTAGTTTGTTTCATATTAGATGTTGTGCACACATACTAAACTTGTTGGTGCAAGATGGCCTTGGTAGAATTAGGGACATTATACATAATGTTCGTGAGAGTGTGAAATATATTAATTATAATGATTCAAGGCTGAAAGCATTTTGTGATGTTGTGGAGCAGAAACGGTTGAAGGAAAAGAAGCTCATCATTGATTGTCCAACAAGATGGAATTCTACATATAAGATGTTGTCTACTGCTTTGAAGTTCAAGGTTGTCTTTCCTGCTTATAAAGAAAGAGAGCCACATTACAACTATGCACCATCAGAAGAGGATTGGAATAAGGTTGAGAAGATTTGTAAACTTTTAGAAGTGTTTAATCTAGCAACTCATGTCATCTCAGGTAGTGATTATCCTACTGCAAATTTGTACCTTCCTGAAGTTTGGAGAGTGAAACAAGTAATTGATAATGCCACAGAAGATGGTGATTTCTTCATTAGAGAAATGGCATCCTCAATGAAAGAAAAGTTTGACAAATATTGGGGGGAATGTAATATGGTAATGGCCATTGCAAGTGTTCTAGATCCCAGGTGCAAATTATATGTTGTCAATTATTGTTTCCCTCTAATTTATAAACCTGATTATGTGGCTTTAGAGAATGTGGATAAAGTGGTGAGTGCTTTGAAAACAATGTATGATGAGTATGTTGGCTTGTATAAGGAAGAGACAACTATGGGTAATGAGCTTGTTAATGCTAGCAACAACTTTCCTGTTAATGTTTCTGGTTCTTCCATAGTTACTGGATTCGACCAAATCATGAGCATTGTTCGTGAAAAGCAAGCAATTCCCCCCATGAAATCAGAATTGGAAGCTTACCTTGAGGAGGGTGTTTACATTCCTGAGGGTAGTTCTAACTCATTCAGCGCCTTAGAGTGGTGGAAAAATAATAGTCTAAAGTATAAGATTTTGTCTAAGATGGCGGCTGATGTATTAGCTATTCCAATTTCAACAGTGGCATCAGAGTCCACATTCAGTGCTGGTGGTAGAGTTATTGATGAATATCGTTCTAAATTAAATGAACAATCAATTGAAGCACTTATTTGTGGTGGGGATTGGCTTCGCAATAAGTATGGTTTGAAAAAGAAACCAAAGGTATAAATTTTGAATTTTAAAAATAATTCCATTTCTTATATTTATTAGTTATTAAATTTTGTTATGATCTAATATATATTTGATGTCTTCTTCTCAGGTGTTTGAACAAGAAGAAGAAATTGTGTTGAAGATTTAATGCTTTGTAGTTGGATGATTTGTTGTAATTGTAACAAGAACAATTGTGTTAATTTGGTTATTTCATATTTCTTGTTTGTATTTTGGATAATTTGGATTAAGTTATTGTAATTTTGAATGGATTTATTTATGTTTACAATTTGTTAAAAATACAGGCCTTATAACAGGCCACAGGCCAGGCCTATAAACAAGCCAGGCTTAGGCCAAATAAAAGGCCTGTGACAGGCCACAGGCCAGGCTCAGGCCAACAGGCCTCATCACAGGCCTGGCTTGTTAAGGGTGAGGCCTGGCCTGGCCTGTTTCCACCCCTAGCTACAAGGGTTTGTATGGTAGCTAAGCAATTTTGGGAGAATCTAAAGGTCGTGGTCAGAGAAATAAGGAGACTTGGTGGTGGGATAAGAGTGTGCAAGAGAAAGTCAGATAGAAAAGAGATTATTTTAAGGCCATACATTTGTGCAATAATGTAGAAAACCGGAAAAAGTATCGTTTGGCTAAAAAAGAGATGAAGAGAGCAGTGAGCGAAGCACGTACTAAAGCTTATGAGGGGTTTTATCAGGAGTTAGGAACAAAGGTAGGAGAAAGAAATATTTACAAGATTGTAAAGCAAAAGGAGAGGAAAAAGAGAAATCTGCACCAAGCGAAGTGTATAAAGAACGAAGATAGGAAAGTGCTAGTTATTGACAGTGATATTAAGGACAGATGAGAAGCTTACTTTTACAAGTTGTTTAATGAGGGAAGCGATTATGCGACTCAAGACTTACAGGACTTGCTAATTAATGAAGATAATCGGAATTTGGCTTTTTACCGCAGGATCCGCATTGGAGAGGTCAAGGCAGCTCTCAAAAAAAATGGACAATGATAAAGCCGTTGGGTCTAATGATATTCCTACTGAAGTTTGGAAATGTTTGGGCAATGAAGATGAATTGTAGCTAACCAAGTTTTTTAATAAAATTTACGCTCTAAGAATATGCCGGATGATTAGAGGAGGAGCATTTTAGTTCCTGTTTACAAGAATAAAGGAGACATTAAAAACTATGCAAGCTACAGAAGGATAAAACTCATGAGTCATATAATAAAGTTGTAGGAAAAAGTGATTGAATATAGGTTGAGATTAGAGACTTCTATTTTAGAGAACCAACTTGGATTTATACCGAGGAGATCCACAACTAAAGCAATCTATTTACTAAAAAGGTTAATAGAAAGATATAGGAGTAAAAGAAAATATTTACATATGGTTTTTATTGACCTGAAAAAAACTTATGATTGTGTGCCAAGAGAAGTACTGTGGAAGGTTTTGAAAAAAAAAAAGTATATGAGTTGCTTATATCAAAGCCATACAAGATATGTATGAGGGGGTAACTACTAATGTAAAAATGCCTGGAGGTGAGACAAAGGACTTTTCCATTAAGATTGGCCTACATCAGAGATCTTCTTTGAGTCCTTACTTGTTTAATATTGTTTTGGACATTCTAACCGAACTTATTTAAAAAAGAATCCCTAAGTCCATGCTCTTCATAGATGACATAGTTCTCATAACATAATCAGAAGAAAAGATTGACTCTAAATTGGATTTATGGAGAAGGACTTCGAAGTCAAAAGGTTTTCGTTTGAATAGGAACAAAACAGAATATATGTATTATAATTTTGAGGAGAGACAGGGTAATGGTGATTTGGAGGTAAAGATGGGGGGATCGAATCATCCTTTAAGTATCAAAATTTAAATACTTAGGATATATTATACATGAGGATGTAGAAATTGATAGAGACGTTTCTCGTAAAATACAACCTGGCTGGTTAAAGTGGAGGAAAGCTACCGGAGTTATTTGCGCTAAGAAGGCACTCGAGAAGTTTAAGGAAAAATTTTATCAAACTGCTATAAGACCAGCTAAGTTGTACGGTAGCAAATATTGGGCGATAGAAGAAAAACAAGAGCACAAAATTGGGGTAGTAGAAATAAAGATGCTGAGATGGATGTGTGATCATATAAGAAAAGATAAGATTTGAAATGAAAATATCAGAGCAAAAATTGTTGTGGCGCCTATCCAAGAGAAAATGGTTGAAAATCGCTTAAGATGGTTTGGACATGTGCCAATAAGACCATTAGAAGCCCCGATGAGAAGGGTAGATTAAACAATACGAAATCCCATAAAAAAGGATAGAAGAAGACCGAAAAGAACGCTCAATAAAATCATTGAATAAGACCTCCTGGTCAACAACATATCTAAAGACTGGGTCAATGATAAAGCACGATAGTATAGTGTGATTCATGTAGCGGACCCTTCCTAGTGGGATAAGACTTGTTGTTGTAAAATTTTGTACGGACACTCATCTATTTTGCTCTATTGCCAAAAATGCTTATATATATATATATATAGAAATATACAAATATATTTGTAAATCAACTTTAATTTTCATTAGGGCCTGCATTTCATTTGAGTAGTTAGGGTTATTTTATGAACGTTCTTCCAAATTAACTTCATTTTGGGCCAAAAAGCCTAAAGTGGGATTTCAAAATCTCTTAAAACCTCATTAAAAATTAAGCCCCATTTATGGGACTTGAATAAAATTCTCCCAAAAAAAAAATGTGACTGTCACATTTCTCCTTTGATATAGTTAGTTAGTTATCGTAAATAAATATTATCTTTTCTAAAATACCTCTATCAATCATATGTACTAAAACTATTTCTTGATGGAGACTCCATAACATATGCAGTTATATTAAAATTACTTAGAAATAAATAAATAAATATTAGGGATAAAGTGACTTGATATCATATATTTAGGATCGAATTGAATCTCTAGCTGCCCTCATACTCCTCCAGTCCTTAATATAGGACCCAATTATTGAGTTAGTTTTGATCCTAAATATAAGACTCATTTCTCATATTTATCAGTTTTCTCTAAATTACCCCTATAGATACTCCCTCAAGCATAATCAAGTAGAAAAAGGATAGGGGTATTAAGAAAGATGATTATGGTATTTTAAGAAAAATGTGTCACATTTCTTATAATTAACAAACTTATCTAACTTCATTAATTTAATCAAATTAGTTAAATGAGTCTTATATTAAGGACCAAAGAAGTATTAAGTATCAAAAGTAATATATTGTAGATTTTGGAATATATGAACGCCTATAGAGCTTTCAAATAGTAAAGCATGAAATATAAAAATAATATAAAGAAAAAATTAAAACACCTTTAGCACATGCCCTCACTACAACATAAGCCAGCAATCTTTAAAAACAAAACAAAAAAAAAGTCTTTTAGCTGCAAAGACTTTTAACTGCACCAAAAAAAACTAAATGAACAGTCACAAAAATACCCCAAAAACCATCTTTTTTCGAGGCTATAGGGTATAGACATTGAAAAGTTTTCCCATCCAAGAATTATGAGATATGATGTTATCATTATACATAAAAAAGATCCTGAAAATCTCATTCTTGAATAATATCAGCATCTCAACAACTTTTAAGGCTAAACAAACTGGAGTTATTAGGCATGACGAGGGGGAGAAGAATCAACTGTGAATCAAATAAACACAAAATAGTTATCATGCTCCTGCCTGAAATAGTATTAAGAAATTGATTCTATTAAATAGCAGCAATAAACACATTATGAATAATTATGAGGCTTGCTTAGGTGACCAAGATAGACCATGATATAAATTGGTCCAGGGCTCAAAATTATAATTATAATATACTATAACAAAAATTGCTAATAAACCTTCACTTACCAATTTATTAATTCTTTTATTTAAAAACATATTTTTAAAATAATATTAGATCTTTTATGAACATATGATCTAGATTCCAATCACCGTCCCCGACATTTTCTTAATAAAAGTTGTTTCCAAGGGACGAGGGACTCAAGCTTCATCCACACATCATGCCTAAAAGACTTCTATGTGTGATGTTCTGGGATATCACAATAAAACTGTTTAGGGGGAAAAACGTTTATGTGTGACCTTAAGCTTATAAGTTAGAATGATCTGCAAAAATTAATTCAAATTTGAAAAAGAGGTCTGGGTCTGGTTGGTATAAGAAAAATAGAGAATGGGAGAAAAAGAAAAATTTTAACGAGTTTGATTAAAAAAACTGAAGAAATGTGGTTAAGAACTTGAAGTTTTTTTTTTTGGTATGCAAAAATTTAAGTGAGTTGGATCCTGAGAGCTCACCAGGACTAGGATATTCCTCCAGGTTCAGAGAACGCTTACAAAAGTACTTATAAATCGCCCACCAACAAGATCCTCACATCGGCAGTGGGATTCGAACTCACGACCTTGTGGGTTATGAACTGACTCCTTACCAACTGTACAAACTCTTATTGGTGCTTGAAGTTAATTTTACTTGTTCTTTATCTTATATCTTTCTTTTTTTTAATCAAAATTTTATAACCCCACTTTTTTTTTTTTTTAAATCAGCTCATTAAAATGTTTTCTTCCCTCTCTTTCCCCCCAATTCCCTCATATCAAACATAGATGCCATGATAATTGCTATGATCAAACCCCTGCCAAAGCACAGACATCTAAGTCCCAAAAAGCCTTCAACTTCAGGCAATAGTCATCATTCTATAGGCATGAAGAAGGTTCAAACATTCTTGTTCCTACAAATTTGATCTGCTCAGAATAAGAATTTGGAATTCATAAACTCCAGAAACGCTAGCAAACAATGTCACAAAATTATTCTAAAGGCAAAAGGAAGTCCTCTGTTCAGGCGACCCGTGACCGGTCGCCCTGTTCCAGAGGAAATATGATGAAGAGGCCAAAAAGTAAAGCTTTACTGAATAAACAACAAACACAACAACAATACAGAAATAATTGGGGAGATGTGACAAAGCATGACTAATTGGATCCTATTTACAACATCACATGAAATATTGCCCATATTTCAACTATCTTGAATGTATTGAACATTAATGAGAAAGCTTGTAAGATATGATTATAACTACGGCGAGAATAAGAGCTCCTATTAGAGAGCCAACTATCCATTTGTTCCTAGAAATCCTCCGTGACATAGAAGATAAAACCTTTTTACTCTTGTCAATGGCATCATCTATCCCAAAAAGCTGCAAGACAGAAATTTGACCATCAGTCTACAATTAATGTCGCTTCTGCATGCCACTCGCTATGCACAAGGTTTACAGGCCTTATCCCTAAGGAGGTGTAATTAACTCATATACCAGTCAGCTCCCCTTGATATTTGAAATAACATGGAATGGAATACTATAAGATGATAGGCTATCTGAGATGCTTGTGTTTAATAAGGCAATTGGGGGCAGCTAACATTCCAAGGGAAGCAATCCATTAATCATTGTTGTATACAGTTAAATTGCAAAATTAATCATGTATGAAGATTTTATTCCACCTATTCTGGAATGTGATGCCAAGGTGGCATTAAATTAGGCATCCAAGATATAATAATATGAGAATTGACTGGACTGGTACCAGTGTACCAAAAACTCTCCACATCGTATAAATAAAAAGGCACATTGGTTTATTGCAAGTTTAAAGAGCTCCCAATGGCCCGAGCATGATTCAGTCCTAGTAATAAACGAAAGTTGAACTGGAAAATATAGTGTTTGCACGAAGGCAACAACATAGGCTGATCAAACATACCTTTTGATGGGAGCTTAGAAGAGTCTCACGCTGATGATGTAAATCTTCGAGTATTGAAACACCAAGTTGTTCAGTCTCCAGCATGACTCTTCGACTCTCCCTAATTCGGTCACTTGATTCATTTGTTCTTTCTATTGACATAGTTAACCTTTCCCTTTGATCAGCGGAGGCCTGCATTATTTTCCATACATGAGAAAAAAAAGTACTCTTATCATCAATTAATGACTGAGTGGCAATTCTACTGCCCAAGCTGCCTTAGAAACACAAATTATTTTTAAGCAAACCATTAATTTCAAATTTCATTAAAGCAGTCGAAGAAGTGAGGTCAAACAAGTCACAAACATGCAAATGCAAATAACTCCAAACCCATCCCAAGAGACAATCTCACTCTATCAAAATAATAAGGCAGCAAGGGGGTCAGACATGTATACCACATTTAGCCTCAGGATAGAAAAATAGACAACATATAAAATGATAATAACATTAAAAATGATGACAAGCAGAAAAATTACTAGAAAATTTTTCACGTTTCACTATGCACAAAGAGGGCCATCGATAATAGTACTAAGGAAACATTACTTTTCATTAGCAAGATCAGGATATTTTCATCCATCGATATTTACCTTGAATGAGACCACCTTGAATGAGACCATGGATGAAAATATCCTGATCTTAACACAAGAAAAATAAATTAATCTGATATTAACACAAAATATCATAATGAAGAATGACCATAAGCAGATGCTGAACTCTGTCGTTCCAAATTCAAGGTTCTAACATAGAAAGACCCCATCTATCGTCTTTTATTCTCAAAGGGAAGTTTGTACATTGTAAATCTAGAAAACTATCAAATAGTATAATCGAAAATTTTAGAAATACCATATGAGCATCCGCCATTCCAGCCTCTAGCAAATCTTCACGAGCAGTCTGATCAGCATCAGGTGATGTTAACCTTTTAAATTCCTTCTTCAATTTGTTCAGATCAGACTTGTATTCTCTCAGCTTAGCAAGCAGCGTTGCTTTCACACTTGCCTGCAAACTTCTTGCCTCAAGATCCATCTTTCGAATCTGAAGCGAGAAAGAGAGAGATCGGTCAGACACAAGGGGAAGATCATGCAGTGAAAGAATTTGAAGCACAGCTTTTAAGAGTTATCTGCAGCTTGGTACCAGAACTTCAGCATCATCTAATCCAGCTTTGATCTCAGCAATTTTTTGCTGCTTCTGGTCTGAAATTGGCGAATAAAAAACAATAATGCATTTAATGTCACATTACATTATTATACATCTTAGTACACCTAGAAAATTTATCTAGTACTCATCTTCGAGGATAACCTAACATCCAACATTAACAAAGGACAATCATTTAAGGGAGGCACCGAATCACGTCACACTGCCAGGCAGTAGCCGCCAAATATTTGTCAATTCCATTAATTTAGCAAGTCTCAGCCCGTAAAAACCAATCATTGATTGGACACCGAATATGCAGGCAAATTGCATAATAAGTAATCTGATGTAACAATAAATGAGTTTCTTTTCCTGACTCTTTAGATTCTAAGGGCATCTATCACCACCAAAAAAAAGAAAAACTCAGACAGCAGCGCCCTGAGCAACATTCTAAGGAACGTCTTAAATTAAAATTTAGAAAAGGTCAACTGCCAACCAATTTAGCAGTTGCACTTCCTGCAGACAAATGCACGCATGCTATCACTAACCAGAAACACCGAGCTATAGATCTTGGAGTAGATCTTTCTATAGCTAAATTCCTTCCAAAGCAATCAGATGAATGTTCGGATCTTTTCTACCTGGGTCAGAAAGAAGAGACGCCGAGCCACATTTACGAGACAGATTAGCAGAGAGATCACAGTATTGACGCTCGTACCCCTCGAAGACCTCGCTCATATTGCAGGCACCGTCTTCAGAGAATGAACAGACGGGAAAGCAAACAAAAAAGATCGAGGAAGAAATCAGATAGCCGATAATATATGGTTCATGAATCGACCATGCAAGCCATGGATGTATGATTACTACCTTGATCTAGCGGGAATTAGTGATCTGAAACTAAAAGAGCCGCACAAGACTCCTTGAGTTTTCTGGTGCCCGGACAAGCCGATAAACGAAGGGGCCGATCAGGAACTTCACTGAACGAACTGTAATTTCATCAAACGCAGGGAAATATTGCGTGCGGTTCGGGCTGCTAGATTCTCTGGAGTGGAGTTATACGTATTCAAGACCAAGAGCCAATGTTTCTGCACCTCAAAAATTTCAACTTTTTCCTAGAGTCTTTTCTGCCAACAATTTTTTTTCCCAGAGTCTTTCATTTCTTGGTTTTAAAAATACTGTTTTATTTAGTATTAAAAAAATAATGTTTTACTTTAGAAAAACAAAAATATTAAAAACTTAGTTTGATGGTTAATTTTTTAAGTAAGTTTTTTGGAAAAAAAAATAGAGATATGTAAGCATTTTTTTTTTCATTTTTCTAATTCTCTCTTTCACTTACGGTCATGCTTTTCATTCTATCTTTTATGCTTACTTTTTCGGTGGCTTGTCTTTTTTCATGCTGTCTCTTAGTCTTTCAAGCCGTATTTGGGAACCTCCTGATGTAAACACTATCAAAATCAATATCGACGGCTTTTTCATAAACCAAGCAGAATTTGCAGGCATTGGAGCAATATGCAGGGAGAATAATGGAACCTTCTTGGGTGGTATATGTAAGGAAGTTAAAGCTTATACTCCTTTTGAATCTGCATGCCTATGCTTTCTCTAGCTATAATATCTGCATTGAAATGGATTGTGAAGAACTTTTTAAAGTTCTTTATGATAAGGATTTAGACAAAGTTGAATGGCAAAGTTCTTATCTTCTTGGTGATATTCTTTGGCTAATTGAGTTAAAGCCAAGTGTATAGTTCTCATTGGTTGCTAGATAATAAAATCGTGCTACAGACTTTCTTGCAGCTGCTAATACTGAAGGAATAGCAGAAGATCTAATACTGAAGGAATGGCTAATAGAGTGGGAGTTGGCTGATCTAGCTTTAAGGCTCTTTTTCTTTTTCTTTTTTCTTTTTTCTCCTTTTTGCTGTTTGTTAAAGCGTTGTCTTTAGTTTGTGTTTTGGATTGTTGTAGCTTCTGTATATTTCTTTGGTTTCTGTTTCTGGTTGTTTTGTAGGCTTCTTTCTGATTATTAATAAAATGATTCTTTTTTTCTGTGAAAATAGTAAAATGATTCTTTTGTTGCAAAAATTTGTTCCAGATAATGTTATGTTTTTTGTTTTCAAATAATGTGATTTTTTAGAGCAATCATCTAAACAAATTTTTTCTTTCCAAAACATGTTTCAAAAACAATTTTATAAAACTATTCTAAAAATATAAAAACAAAAAAAGAATCAAACAAGGCCAAAATCTTTGTGTTTTTGGGGAAAAAAAGGAAGGAAAAAAAAAGAATTCTTCTTGTATTTCTGTTATATAGATAAGGGAGCTAGCAATTAAATTCTTGGTGAGTCTAAATCCGTTTTTTTTTTAATTTCAAAATAATATTAACCCAAAGTATACAATGCAATATTAGAGTTAGAGAATGGAAGAAGGAAAAAAAGAAAAGAAAAGAGAAACACAAGATTAAAAAAAAAAAAAGGACACAGATGAAATTGCTTAATTGTAATAAAAAGATCTATACTATTTATTACTCTCCACATTTCTTCAAATATGACCCCCGTTTTTGTAAAATACTGTATTTCAATATATAACGCATTTAACAAGGTTTTGAGAACAAATTAGCTTTTTATTTAAAATGCTCTTAGAATTATTTACTTCTTACCTAACAAACAATTAATGATTGGTAGTGCTAAAGAATGATAACATTGAACTAAATTGAAATTTTAATTATCTAGCTATTTTTCCCTCACATGTTAACAAAGTCTTGTATGTAAAATAAAAGGAATATAAGAATAAAATGAAAAAATCACAATTAAATTCAGTTGAAAGACTAAAATTCGTATTCAGACTTATACTTTTGATAAATTCCTAATCAAGCTAAAAAAACTAATTATGAATTTTTGAATCCGATGACTTTACCTTGAAGACTAATCCCCGAAATGGCAATGGTCTTCTCATAGAGAATTCTCCTTGAAGTCGGCTCATGAGCACATAACAATTCACTGAAGCAGAGACTTGTCTGACCTTTGGAGAAGAATTTGGATTTTTTTTTTTTGCTAGAAAAAACAATTTGGAAGTTACATAACTGCCTCAAAGATGCAAAACCTTATTATGGCTCTAGAGCCTTTGCTCACTATGACCAACGTGGCTCGGTAAAATCATAGAATTTTGAAGAGGTTCTCTTTACATTTAGTTAGTCCCTTGGTTTTCATTTCTTCATATAAAAGAGTTCTCTAGCTTCTGGGGTATGCAAAAACCTAGTGTTTCAGTCTAATTCAAAGCAATTCGAGATGGTCAAGTTGATCGATCCAAATAAATGATGTGATAAAATCATATATCAAACTAGTTGGTCGGACTAGATTATATATGTTTTAAACCAAGTGGTCGGACCACATGAACTAGTTAGTCTGGTTTGAGTGATTTTTTTTAAAAAAAATTTAATTTGAAATTTTTTTTATTGTTTAATATTGGTGGATATTCTTATGGATTTATAATTAAGTTTTGATGTTTTTGGAAGATTTTTATATGATTATAGGTATTTTTTTAATTATTCTACTCCTCTAATCCTAAATGTAAAACCCTTATACTAGTGTGTATAAAGGTCTTACATTTAGGACCGGAGGAGTAATTGTGTTTCTTATTGAAATCTTGGTTTCAATAAAGAAAAATTAAAAAAAAAAATTAAGGTCCTAGACTAGTTAGACTAGTCGAGTCCATCTGATAGACTAAGTCCAGTCCCGTTCGACCTCCAGTTCCTATTGGATTAGACTAAACCATAGGTTGTCAAACTCTATATTTTAAGTTGGGTTTTGACATGATTTGGTTTGTCCCTTGTACAACCCTAATTTTTGAGCCTTATAGTCTAGTTAATATAGGTGCATCACTCAAATTAGAATTAGATTATGGTTATAGTGATAAGATTAATTAATATTTGCTTAAATTTAGATTCATTAACTTGTTAATGATTTCTTTAACCAAAAGAGTCATAATAACATTAACAATCCTCGTTAAGAACCATTGGAAGATATTTAAAAAGTTGTGCACAATCAAATTCATCAATCTCATGCACTACAAGATTGAACAGACACTTAATAAATTAATAAAAGATTAATTCAATCTAGTGTCAAACAACCAAATCAAGCATTAATCAATACAAACCAAGTGTGCAACTATCAATTTCAACATTCAAATACTAAAATCCATTACAAATATAATGAAACAACTCTAGCATCACAATTCAATCTTCTAACCAGGATAGATCAAATATATAAAATTGGAAGTGGAGATAAAATGTAAATAAAACGCCCTAATTGGTTGCTCCAAGCTCTGGCATGGTCCTCTGCTTCATAAGAAAATTCAAGTTCTCGACTTATGGTTTTGATATCTCCAGAGCTAAAATGATTCAAATTTTTTATTAAATGAAATAGACTAATATTTTAAATAAAAAAATTTGAGAGATTAAAACCAAAATAAAGACAAACTTAAATAACAAAAATTATATTAACCCTATATAAATTTACACTGATTATGGATGCTTTGCATTTTATTTTGAGTTTTTGAGGAGAAATCGAGTCTATTACTAAGAGTGTGTTTGGGATCACATTTGGAGTCCCAAACTGACTTGTCTGCCAGCAAAAAGAGCTTGTACGATTTAGAATGTGTTTAGAATCACATTTTTACAATCTGATTTATTTGTGCAAATGAGCTTTTAGGGAGAAGCTCTTTTTTATTGCTTTTACCGGTGAGTCCAAGAAAAGCTTTTAGAGTATATTCATCTTGCTGGAATGAAGTTGAAGAAACGAGTAGAGGAGTGGAGATAGTCCCACATCGACAATGTCATAAGATTGAGGAGGCTGCAATGCATATAAAATGGAAGGAGGCGCGACGATTACAAATTACTTACCTGGACGGGGTCAATAGATGATCAAGAAAGCCTATGGCCTAGGCTGGTGACCTCCATTGCACTTAGGAGGGGTGCCAGCCTAAGGTCTCCTCAAGTAGGAGAGCCTACGTCATAATTTGTGGCAGTGGGGGCCTGCGTTCGCGCGGCCCCTCCCATTTCCAGTTGTATAAAGCTATTAGATTTTGGATGTGGAAAGGGTTGGTGTTGTCTTAGGTACTTTGGAGCTTAACTTAGTGGGTTTTGCAGCAGTTTTATCTTGTGGATGAGGAAACTGGGATCTGTTTTACACTTGTTGCGCGGCCCCTTCTATTTCCAGTTCAAGAGCGATTGTTCGTTTCCCAAGTTGGTTTTCTTGATTGGTTCTCAAAGATGTTAATGGGTTTGCAGGAACTTCAATCTGTTTTCCGCTTTGCTGCTTCTTATTTGATGAGAAACCTGATATACTTTCTGGTTTGAAGTTGGAGAGAAATCGACATGTCTTTTGTTGTACAATAATCTCATTTTCTGGGGCATCATTTTCAATTTTTCATTATGTTTCTCTCTCAACTCGGTGTTCATGGGTTTACAATAGTCTTTTGGGGTATCATTGTATTTATTTCTGAAGTTGTTACTTACTGATCCTGATTTCTATAATAACTAGCTAACTTCTCATGACCTATTCATTTATCATCTCATTCATATAATATTAATATGTTCTTACAATTCAGATCAGACTTGTTTCACTCAAGTTTGCGAGCAGAATTTTTTTCACACTTGGCTGCAAACTTCTTACCACAAGATCCATCCTTTGAATCTGGAGTTTGAGAAATTGAAAGATCAAACACAAGGGCAAGATCATACACTGAATCTAAAGTTTAGCGGGGAAGAAAAGTCCAACTTTGTATCAGAATCTACAAAGGATTCTGATGCAGGTCAGAAACTTTTTGGATATCTAGGGTCTGAAATTAACGAATAAAAATCAGTGATGATATTGAATGTCATGATGATATTGAATGTCATAATAAATACTAATGAGGGAAACATTTGATAATAATCTCAGTGCTGTAGAAAATGTGTTAAGCAGTCATAATAGAAGATAGGAATTAAAAACATTTTGGGAAACTTACCATAAAAGGAAGCTTTGATTTATTTATATTATCTTTTATGCAAGTGCAAGATATTTTGTTGCAAGTGGATTTTTTTTAAAAAAATTTTATGCAACTGGTAAGATATTTTGCTGCAAGCGGATTTTTTTTCCAATTATTGTTAGCAAGTTGATGGTTAGTCTATAAATGGAAGATCTTATGTGCTCTGAAATTGGACTGTGATGAATGAAAAAATTGTTATGGCTTAGCTGCTCTCCCACCCCTTTCTGTGTTGCCTCGCCCTCCCCCGGTTTTGGTTCTCCCTCTCCTCAATTCTGTTCCCCCTCTCTCTGTTTCTTCCTCTCTCTTCTCTCTTTCTATTTCCTCTCCCCTAAAATCTCCTCTGTTCTGCATTAGATCCGGGCGTGTGTGAGTGTGTTGCATCAAGTCATCTTCATTGCCCAAAACTATGAAAATTTGCCAAACAGAAGCCCTTTTAAACTGATATCATCATAAGTAAATTGACACAGCTCAAGTATTTTACATTTTCATTACTATTGAGGGCTTTCTTAATTGTGAAATAAGAAAAGTTTATGCATATACATTGATTTTTATATTGAATATTTTACTCTCATTATATTTAAGAGAAAAAAGAGTCACATGATCTCTTACTAAATTAGCTCCTATGAAATTGAACTCAAATTGAAGTACAAAACACTGCCATTTTTCTTACTGAATTAATTTTCTCCGGTTCAATAAATTTTGTGGGGAGGGCTACCACTTAAATATCAAAACAGAGATGAAGAGAGATCATCTACACTCTCTTTTCATTTTGGATGTGATTTAGAGTCTGAACTTTTCTCTTATTATTGGCATATATGTTCATGGGATTAGAAGCTTTCTCTGCAGAGAAAACACACTTGTAATAAACAGGTTCATGGAGAATGAAGTTGAAGAAGAGAAGTGGAATAAGGTAACTGAGCCTAATGATAGACCAATTACTAGAGCTATGCCCTAAGTTGAAATGAACTGAAACTACATCACACAATCAAATCATCATAAAGAACAAGCACTTCTAACAACTGATAGTTAAACCAAACCAAGTTAGGCTTACAATTGCTTGGTGTTCTTCTGAAATTATTCAATTTTTAGTAGCATCAGTTATGTGACAGAGAGTGTTGTTATACATTAGACACTTGTAAAGAATAAACACCTATGACATCCATACTGGAGAAAAAAGGCAAGTAGAAAAACTTTAATTGAGCCCCGGTGTTATCAGATAAAAATTTCAAGAGCAACTTGATGTTTTAGACTTCAAATTATCCACCACATTTTAATTTTCATGATTGAAAGAATATGTATCCATTTCTTTGTTCTTTGTATCTTCTAATCCAGCATTGATCTCTCAGGATTTTGCTGCTTATGGTCTGAAGTTGATAAATAAATCAAACTCAGTAATGGCTTTTGATGTCAGATTAAATAATAATAATAATAAGACTACTATAAATCCTTACAGATACATGTTCCAGGAAACATTTGACAACAATCTTTGTACTGTAGAAAATTTATTAATATCAGTAAGCATCTTTTCCCCCCAACTAATAATATCAGAATTTAATTGACATAATCAGACTTTTCTTAGCCATTACTGCTGAGAGTTTGCTTAATCCTTAAAGAATAGTATATGCATTCACATTGATTTTGCACATTGGACATTTTATTCTTGTAGTTTTGGTACGAGACAAAGATGGAGTCCTACCATTGGTAGATCAAGGCTCAAAAAAAAGGGGGAAAATAAAAAAAGAAAACGTGACCGCTTCATTGTCATATTTTAATGCCAGAATGATAAATTATCTTACTACTCTGCTTTTGCATACAATGGCTTCTCCTTTTGAAATCACAGGGGACTATCCACATTCATACATAGGAAATATCTGGGGTAAGACTGTCTTTACATTTGGATGATTTGATGCTCGAACTTAGAGGCTATGCTTATAGTACGGAGATTGGTGAACTTTTCTGTGATATAATTGACATTGGCGGGTTTATTCATTATTCCAAACATCATATACAAGTTGGAAAAGAAGAGCAGGAGAAACACAGTTTAACTCACGGTCACGGCAGGATGAAGTTGACGAGCAGAGAAGTAGAGTTAGTCCCACATCGATAAGGTTGCAAGACAGAGGAGGCTGCGATGCCTATAAAACTGAAGGATGGACGCCAGTACACGCATACTTACCTGGACGGGGTCTATGGGTGATCATGAAGGCCCATGGCCTAGGCTGGTGACCTCCATTGCACTGGGGAGGGGTGTCCGCCTAAGGTCTCCTCAAGTAGGAGAGCCTACGTCGTAATTTGTGGCAGTGGGGGCCTGCGTTCGCGCGGCCCCTTCCTATTTTAGTTCTGAAACCAAGGGACATTTCTTGAGCACTACTACGATCTCCAGTTGACGGTAACGGATATGAGGTAGATGCGCGCTTACTGTTTGTTCAGTGGTTCTGCCATCCTAGAGCACTACTACGATCTCCTGTTGATGTTAATGGATTGGCAACAATTTTTTTTGTGTCGTTGAGGAAATTATATATGTTTTCAGCGTGGCTGTCTCTCATACTTGCTGGTTTGAAGTTGGAGAGAAACGGGTGTGCCCTTGAATTTGTTTCTCGGGGTTTACAAGAACTCTGCGGCATCCTCATGTTTGTTTTTGAATCTGTTCATGTTCCTGGTTTTATGATAAACTCAATTCTCTCATGATTTTGTTTCTCTAAAGTTGTTCGTGTTACTTACTGCTCTTATGATCTACTCATTTATCATTTCATTGATATATTGTTAATATGTTCTTATAATTCATATCAGATTTGTATTCACTTAACTTTGTACCACGAGATCCATCCTTTGAATCTAGAGCTTGAGAAAGAGAGAGATCAAACACAAGGGGAAGATCATACGCTGAAAAAATATTTAAAGCACATGGTTTAAGGGGCAAAATTTCAACGTCTAGACTTTTTGAAGTAAGATTAGAAACTCTTTTTATTGTTATGGTGTATAATTCAGCGAACACATCTCGTGCTCATCACATAAAGAAAAGCATAAAGTGCTCATCTTAATTTGGACCATCCAATTTAAATAGTTTTTATGTTCTAAATATTTTTTTTTAATTTTAATTGGCATAGAGTTTAAAATAAAGATAATCTCATAACTAACATTTCCTTTAAAAAAATATATTTATTAGTGAAAAATTGTAAATTAAAAATTTTAAATTTGAATCATTAAAACTATATTTTAAATGTTCTAGATTTCCTTATGGCAATATGCTTATTGCTGTGATGAACATTATATGAGAACCTATTTACTTGTAATTCATGACTAAAATTCTATGATGAAATTGAATGTTATAATACATAGTAATGAGATTATTATACATCTTCACAGAAGCATGTTTAACCAAACATTTGATAACTATCTAGTACTCTAGAAAAATTGTTTTGGTCATCTTCATTACCCAAAACTATGAAAATTTAACCCAAAAAAACTTTTTTTTTTATTTTAAATAATATTATCATAAGCAAATTGACACAGCTGGAGCATTTTTTTTTTTTTGTTTTCATTATCGTAAGGCTTTTCTTAATTGTGAAATAAAAAGCATATGCATATACATTGATTTTGATATTGACGATGTTACTCTCACAGTGAAGGGAAAAAGAATCCCATGATCTCTTACTAAATTAACTCTTATGAATTGAACTCAAATTGAAGTGCAAGATGCTGTCATGTTTGATACTGAATCAATTGTGTTTGGAATAACAAATTTTGTGGGGAGGGCTATCACTTAAATATAAGAAAAGAGATTAAGCGAGATCATTAACATCCACATCTCTTTGGAGGTCATTTTTAAATTCCAATTGAATTATAATGACTATTTATCTTTGTGAACACATTCTGATATAGAAAATATATAGGGTCAAGACTGTCCTTTCCTTTCCATGATTTCAAGTCTGAACTTCTCTCTGATTATGGCATATATGTTCATAGGATTAGAAGCTTTTTAAGCAGAAAAACACACTTGTAATAAACAGGCTCATGGCTACTAGACAAGTTGAACTGAACTGAAACTACACCACACAAATCAAATTGTCATAAAGAAAAAGTTCTTCTAAGAACTGATAGTTAAACCTTCTAAATTAGGCTTGCAATTGCTAGCCCTCTTTACCTTGGTGTTCTTCTCAAATTATTCTAATTTTTAGTAGCATAAGCTATGTGACAGAATGTTGTTATACATCAGACGCTTGTAAAGACCAAATATACAGGTGCATTCACTTTTTAATTTTTGCCCCCAAAGAATTTAAAAAAAAAAAAGACAGTAAAAAAGCCATACAGCAGGATAAAGGCAAGCAAGAAAACTTTAAGCTCTGTTTATCCAAAACACTTGGCTTTCTGATTGAGCTCCAGTTCTGTTAGATGAAAATTCAAAGAGTGAATTGATGTTTTAGACTTCAAATCACCCACCACGTCTCAATTTTCATGATTAAAAGAGAATGTATCTGATGTAACCTAAGCTAACAGAATGATTAAAACTGCGCTTTAGATTAATACACCAAAATACCTACTCTGCAAACACAGAAAGGTGTTACAGCACAATGGTTCTTTAACTACAGAACCCACGCATGAACACAGAATACAACACCGTATTTGAATTAAATCACAAGATTCTTCCCCATCAAGAACTGACGGAAGTTACAGCAGAAGATTATTCACACTAAGCTCACACAAAAGATACAAAAGGACTTGGCACACTAAAACAGAAAACAGAAAATGATGAAGGAAGTTGATCTTCCTCCATCCTCACCTTGGCATTTGAGAAGCCAGTACTCCCCTCACCACACTAAGATTACAAAATAATTCCTACCTCCAAACAGGATGCACCAACGGCTAAAAAGAAGTAAAAAGTCAACCACACAATCCCCAAAATACCTCCAAAGGTCAGGTCTAAAACACTCCTAGAGGGCTCCAATTAATTCTCAGCTTCTTTCTCCAAACTGGTAGGAGTTTTAAAATCAACTCCTTGACCAGCAGAAAGCATCTTTCTATTTGTGCTTTTATAGGTCTGGCCAGCAAAGACGGCTCTATCAGTATGCATTTCTTTGTTCATTGCATCATCTAATCCAGCACCGCTTATGGTCTAAAGTTGATGAATAAAAATCAGTAATGGTTTTTAATGTCATATTAAATAATAATAAGGCTATCATAAATCCTTACAGAGGCATTTTCTAGGACACATTTGATAACCATCTCTGTACTCTAGACAATTTATCAGAAAGCCTTTTTTCCCCCCTGTTAAACTAGTAGTATAAGAATCTAGTTGACACAATTAACCTTTTCTCTATCATTACTATTAGGAGTTTGCTTAAGAATGGTATATGCATTTACATTGATTTTGGACATTGGATGTTTAATTCTCATAGTTTTATTATGAGACAAAAGTCCTATCATCTCTTACTAAATTAAATCCATGAGTTGAACTCAAATTGATTTACAAGATACTGTCAATTTTCTTCCTAAATTAATTTCCCTGAATAACAAATATTATAGGGAGGGTTATCTTACGTATCAATGACAGAGAAGATAAGCAACATACATACCCTTGGAATTCTAAAATCAATGACCACATCTCATTTCCGAAACAAAAAGAGTGATGGCTTCATTGTCATATTTTAATGGCACTGAATTATCTTACTCCCAAGCTTTTCCTTACGATGACCAATTCTCTTTGTGAAGAGGACTCTTCACTGTCTCAGGGGTCTTTGATAAATATCAATAGCCACATTACATCAAGGCTTAAAGACTGTCTTTTCCTTTGGATGATTTGACGTTGGAACTTTTTTGCACGGCCATATATCCTTCCAGTGAAGGAATTGATGTACTTTTCTCTGATATATATTTGACATTCACGGGATTATATTCATCGTTCTAAGCATCATACAGAAGTTGGAGAAGAAAGAGGAGGAGAAATACGCTTGACTCACGGAGAATGAAGCTGAGAAGAGTAGACGAGTGGAGTTTGTCCCGCATCGACAAGATTAAAAGATAGAGGACGCTGCGATGCCTATAAAAGACAAGGATGGACGACAATTTGAACATACTTACCTGGACGGGGTCAATGGGTGATCAAGAAGGCCCATGGCCTAGGCTGGTGACCTCCATTGCACTTGGGAGGGGTGCCCGCCTAAGGTCTCCTCAAGCAGGAGAGCCTACGTCAAAATTTGTGGCAGTGGAGGCCTGCGTTCGCGCGGCCCCTCCCAATTTCAGCACCAAAGCTAATTTTCTTAGGGGTTTGCAACATTTTATTATGTAGTGAGAAACCCTAAATAGTAGCAGCTAAGCTCGTACTTCTGGTATGAGTCATCTCTGCTCTAACTCAGTGTTTGTCTTTCTTCATGTCTTTTGTATTCGTCTGATTTACCCTTTTCTTCAACTTTGTTCCAGTTCTTGGGTTTTACAATGAGTCTGGGGCATCATTGTAAATGTGAAGTTGATGTGTATGGGTCTACCGCAGTCTAGACAATCCCCTCATGTTCGTTTTCTGAAGCTGTTCATGTTCGTAGTTTTAGGATGCTTCTGGGCATCCTTACGTTGTTTCTGAAGTTTTTGTTTTTGTTTTTGTTTTGTTTTTGGTACTTGTTTCTGAAGTTGCTTGTGCTCTGATTTGGGTACGATGATTTACCTTGTCTTTAGGGAGAGTTGGGACTTAAAAACGGTGCTTTCACCCCAACAAAATTTTTCTCATGTCTCTCACATATTTACCTGAAAATCACTTCCAAAAAACTAATAAGAAAACTGGGGTTAAAGATTCTTGTTTTCAAGCAGTTGAAGATGTGTTTGGATACTTAATATTGGTAAAAATTATTTTTATTTTAATTGATTTTTGCAAACTGAAATTAAAGTAAAAATCAGTTAACGTGATGATTTATGTTTGAATAGTAAAAAAAGTACATTTAAGTTGTTTGAATACTACTCCATCCGTTCCTTATTATAAGAGACATTTGATGCTTATGGCATGTTTCCATATATATGAGACACTTAAAAGTTGTTCCTATTTTTTTGTATTGATTTCATATTTTACCCCTATTTATTTTGTCTCCAACTCATACTCTCTCTCCCTCCCACTTCTCTTTCTTTTAATAATTTAATTGTTCTTTCTCATATTCTCTCTCCTTATTAATGGGGGCATTGTTGGAAAAAACATTATACTTTTTACACATTAATTATCCTCAACTAATTTTAACTGTTTTTTTTATCAACGTAATTTAGTTATTTGTTTCTTATAATAAGGAACGGAGGGAGTAATTACTATTTTAGGTTTTCAATATAAGGACTAAACAACAAATATAGGGACATTAAAAAAATTAATTAAATTGGTTGTCATAAATGTGTGTTGGTCTCTTTAAATTATCATTTTCAATCATGTGCATTAGATTATTAAAATTATTTTTTTAGTGAGAACTATTTACAATCAATAAGGATATTTTGAGGGGAAAAAATGAGAAATAAAGTAAATTAAAATATATTTATAACCAAATTCAACCTTCAACTAATTTTATATTAAAAACCAAAGCTAGTAAAAAACAGACTTAGATGTAAATGACTAAAAAAATGTGATTTCTATATATACCTGTTTATTATGCATAAAATGTGTTAATTTTAAGAGAAATATGAAGATCAAAATTATTAAGAATGAAAAAAGTCATTTTGTTAGGAAAAAAAATAGAAAATACTAAATATGATATTATCA